TTATATATATAGTATAAATATATCATAGGTTACAAGTTTTATTTTTTTTTCTAGAATATTACTTTTCACTAGGACAACTAAGATGAATATATGATAAATATAAAAGAACAAGATAAAAAAGAATTTTAAATCTTTTTTCTATATCGAAACCATTCCAGTTAACTTTTTTTTTTACTAGGATAAAACTATACATGTCACCTAAATTTCAAATTATTTTGATATTTCAGAAGTCAAAATTTAGTTTTTATAATATTTGGGATTTGGAATTTGGCATAATTTGGGATTTGGAATTTTGGGATTTAAGATTTAGTATTTTAAATTTGGGCAATGTTACTGGATGAAATTATCAAGATATATAATCTATAGTATAAATTATGTAATATAGTTTATAATATAGTATTAATTATCATTATATTATTCTTAATCAATAACAAATTAATTTTTATTAGATAAATTTAATTAAATATATTAACCAATAAAAATAATGCACAGTAAGGTACAGTAAGGTACAGTAGAGTACAGTAATGACACAGTAGTGTAGATCACCTAAAATACTTATAAAAAGGATCAAAGTTTTTTATTTGAAATTGATAAATTTAATTTTATAATTTGTAATTCCAAGATAAATACTTGTAAAAATTATTCTGCAATTGAATTAATAAAATAATAAATATTAAAAAAATAAATACAAAATAAATATTAAAAATTTAAAATAAAAATTATAAAATTAATTATTAAATATAAAATATAATAGTTAATAAAGAAATAATGGATATTATAAAATTAAATACTTGATTGTATAATTGTATAATATTATTATTCTTGAGTTAATGAAATTAATTACAAACTATTCTTATAAATCCTAGACTTGGAATAATACTTAACCTGGATAAATAGAAATAATACTCAATAATGATAAAACTGAAAAACAATTAATGAATTGATATTAATTATACTTGCATGTAAAATTATTTTGAAACTTTGAAATTACAATTTTGGAGAAAAAAGTTAAAATAGTTTTTTATAGAAGACAAAATTATTTTACTTAAAATCTGAAATTTTTTGACCATTCAGATTTATTCTTTGATTGAATATACACATAACTAGGTACTTTTTTTATATAGAATATATTCTGTATAAATCTCAAAAATTCAAAATTAATTTTGAGAACATGTATAATATTAATACTAAAAGTAATGATAAACTTGGAAAGATATTGGGATGAAAGGTCTAATTTCCTTTCTAAAATAATTAAACCAGTGGTACTTTCTGAAATAATGGAACAACAGTCTTACCTTTGGAAAAGGACTATAAACTCCTTAAAAGAACCATTAAGTTACTCTACTGGTTTAACCTCAAGGGAATCAGGAATCACCGGTAACAGTGGCATCTATAGATAGAACTAAGACAGATTTTTTATTAGGACACAAGCAACTGGAATATCAATTGTAAAATATACTTTAATGGATTAAAGTAAGTAACATATATCTTATTACTAAGGTTAACTAGGGACAAAGTAAGACAATTATATACTTAATAGCAATAATGTGACATAGAATGCATATATATTTGATAGCATGTATATAGTATGCAAGATAATATATATATAATATACCTAATAATATATATGCAATATATGTGATAATATATATTTTTATTACCTGTCTCCATAAATAATATGTTAATTGTAATTAGATCATTAGATATACTTTTAATTTATATAAGCTAACAACAAAATTGATCATATATACAGTTTGTAGTATATAATTATCATTATCGAATATAGGTTTCTAAAGAAATTAAGACTTAATATAAAAAGACATATACTATTGCATTTTAACCTAACACACCATTTCTTTCTAAAGGAAATTGATTGAAAACAATAATCTGATATACAAACTTTATATAAGTGATCAACTAATGACTTGAGTTTTGCGATTGACAAGTCAGTCATAGTCTTTATTATAATTTAGCTTATTGATTTTCTTCTAAAGAAAATCGAATAAAAACAATAAGCCAAAAGACAAGTTAAGATATGGAGATGTCTAAGTATAATGATGGTGGTCTATTTTTGTTATTATACTAATATATGTCTCAGTGGTTTTCAAGTAGTGATACAAATACAACCTATATAATATCCAATAGATAGACTATAAATATCACATCTCTGACAAGGCAAAAGCAAAATGCTCATCACTCAAATAACAAGGCAAAAGCAAAATGCTTGTCACACCCAAGACTATTATAGTCTAATCTAAATTGTTTTTTGTTTATATAAATAAAAATGACTTCTGTATTTTCTTTTAATTATTAATTTAAGTTTCTTTTTACTATGTATTAGTGATATTTTTATCATTAATTAATATGATGATTTTTTTTCCATAATACTATTTTCACATGACCAAAGATATATATTAAATACATTTATTCTACCTCACTTCTTTGTATGAGTTTGAGTTTTAGCCATTTTATTAATAATATAAATGATATTAACAGATCTGAAGTATGTGTTTTCTTCTAATATATTTTGAGTACCATTATTCACATATAAGAGTTTCTCTCTTACAAATCTACACTTGAAAATATATTCATCATCACTATTTTCAAAATAATATAAAACTGGTTCATTTTTTGTTACTATGATTTTTTGAATTTTATATAATGAAGAACTGAATGTGAGATCAGTTATGTGATGTGACATTTTAAAACCTCCTTTCCATTTTTCATTGGCTAATAAATAACAAACAGTATCACCTTTTTGTAACTTATTATTTTCATTTATTCCAACAGGATACTTATATTTTGTAGATAGTTTAGATTCTACCTTTTCTAACTTAATAATCTCTTTAGACTAAACTCCACGTTGAAAAATCAGGAACTCAAATGAGATGTGTTGAATAATTATTAAGATAATTGATAACTTTTGACAAATACTTAATTCACTTATTAATTTAGAGTTCAAAGTTATACTTTCAATAGTATATTGAATTCTATATAGTATTTCTGTAAGCATCTTACAGAATCTATATATAATTACAAGTCCTTGATAACTGTATACATCAATTACTCAAATTACTCTTGTATTATTTGAACTGTTTCACCCATATATTCACACCTGCCTGCTATCAACAGTTAATAATTTAAGCCAAATTAGTGAATTTTATGAATTATTATAAATTTTCTTGAATGTTTTAGTAACTTCTAATATTTTTTCAATATAAGAGGAACTGAGGCCTTATATCTCGATGCACATGATAACAGTGTCATATTTCTGCCGTCATGACATATACCTGAGTAGAAATAACCTAGACTAAGTGGAAATAACATAATTATGTTATTTCCACTAGCTCTTTTGAACAGATGATATAACGTGTTTATCTTGGTATGTTGTATGATATAATCAAATGTGTCTTCCAAGGGATAAATATCTTTAAAAATTATTCGGGCCAAAAGAGGTTTCAGATTTATTTTTTTGCTTTTACATTTTAAATATAGAAGAAATAATACACAATGCCTAAATGTTTATTAATAATTATAACAAATACTGAATAAATTATGATAATAAAAGAATCAAAAAATTTTAAATGTCAGAGATTTCGGTTTCCTTACATATCTAAGCCATAATTATTTGTCATATCCTTCATTTGTGAAGTTTAAATGATTTTCTAAAGCTAGTAAATTATGAAGAACTTGAGAGAAGAGTTTCAGAAATTTTTTTTTATATATTTATTATTTTTGTTTATCAATTTTTTTAATTTATATACACTTTATTTTAAAATATTCACGAGGTTCCCGCCAAATCTTTCTAACACAGATTAGTATGACTTTGTAAGAAATACTTTTTTGGTTAAGTGCGAAACCCTTTTCAAAATAAAGGAATTTGGCGTAAAAATACTTTAGACTTTAATAATTTTATCTTAGCACGCATTCATTTCATTATTCGATAGAGCATAGTATTTAAAAGTTTCTTGTTATAGTTTAATTCGGTAATGGTGTAATTATGCATTTCAATAACTGGTTCTTATGCATTAAAAATTATTTATTAATTTTTTAAAGTGGTTAATTAGAATAACGTTTAGTTAGTTTATTTGTTTGTTGTCTCGATGCACGTTGGTATATATTATATCTGAGCGCAGTTAATAATATATTTAGTACAATAAAAAAATGTTCATAACAAATCTTCCTTTTCAGTAGTAAAGCCCCAAGTACATAAAGTGCCGAATATTTTATAAAATATGAATGCTTTCATATTATTAAATGTAAAAGGCAATTTTGTAGAGGATTTACCCGAAAATTAACTTGAATTGTAAACTGGAATTTATAACAAGACAATCGTAACATTCTAGTGTTATACCAGTTTATATTAGTATAGTGCCTGGGAAATTTTTTCGTTTAACTCATCGCAGAACAACGTGCTAAAAATTATCAGTGAATGTATTTCATCTGAAAAAAGACGATTAATTATTATAATAATTTAACTATTAAAGAAAGAAAAAAAGATCACAATAAGTTTTAGTGCTTACAATTATTTTTCATTCAATTATAAGGGTACTGCGACAAACAATAAAAAGTGTGTTCAATCTCAACGTTTTGATCCTTAATCAGGAGTAAATTTATGTGTGCACACGAGATTTTGGTTATATTTATCACTAAAAATAATAAAAATAATAAAAATAAATTAAAAATATTTCAATGTATATATAAATTATTTATTTAAAATATGAGAATAATAATTTTCATGTGTCAACCAAACTTTTACTGGTTTCTCCCATTTCCTCCTGCTGATATATAAGGAGCACATTGGACAACAACCAAGATAATCAAAATAAATTAGAAATTTGTTAAAAAAATAAAATAATAGAAATTTATTACTATAGGTAATTATTTCGTTTCGTTTATAAGGATACATTGTTAAATTCATCGAACGTAATTTATTTACTATTTTGGAAACCTCTGTTTTTTTTATTATTTCTATTAATATTGTAGAAAGTAAAGAAACAATGAATACTCTATTCGCTGTGTCATACTGCGCCGTATTACTATGTGAGTCTGATATTCGTAATGCTCTTTCTATGCCTTTCTATGCCTTTATATGTTGCATCAAAATAACCAATTTATTTTTGTCATTTTTTAAAGGTTATCGTATACCCTTTGCATTTCTTTTATTCATCTCCAATAAATTCATTAAACAGAAACGTATTCAACCAGACCTCCGTCAACGATTTGCTGCCACCATTATTAAAACGATTTGCGATACTTTACCTTTATGGTTAATCAGAACCCTATTTTATTTATCTGGGGTTTTTGAACAAATAATGAATGGATTGTTCATGGGTGAAAAAAGAAGACAATGGTGTTCCCCGGTGAAAGGGAATGGTTGGAAAGGTTATTTCATTGGTGAAAATGCCAAAAAAGAAGAAATTGGTCAAAATGCAGATTTAGTGATCATTTACTCTCATGGTAAAATAATTTTTCCATGCATATTTCTAAAATTTTATGGATTATAATCCAAGTTAATTTTTTTTTTTTGAAAAAATAGGAGGTGGATTTACTATTGGAGGAGCTTTAGTGTCTCTTGTAGTATTTGTTGATTGGATAAAAACTTGGAAAGGCAGTCATGGCGCCAAAACTCATATTGTATCCCTCGAATACGGTATTTATTATCATATACACCTTATTTATTTTTTATAACTTAAATAGTTTTTATGCTAAAGGTGCATACATATACATGTGCACACACAAACACACATATATATATATATAGGATTAGCACCCAAACATCCCTTCCCAGCTGCAAGAGATAGTTTATTAGCGTGCTATGACACTTTAGTTAATGAGAAAGGAATTAGTCCATCTAAAATTGCATTTGGTTAGTATATTCATATTAATTTATATTCATATTAATTATTTATATTCACATTTATTGAAATATTAATTATTAATAATTATTTAATAGCTGGTGATAGTGCTGGTGGAAATTCATCTATTACAGCAGCTTTGGAACTTTTGCTTAATCCCAGTAAATACTCTGTTCCTCCACCATCATGCCTTTTACTTATCTCACCTCTCGTATCTGTAAGTATTATATTTTGTAAACGTTAAAACGTTAATATGACGTACTGAGATTTAAAGGATATATATATATATATATATATTTATATTTAATTTATAGTTAATTCCTACATCCCCTTCATTCGAATTCAACAAAACTTATGATTATTTAAGTTTAAAATGGATTGATGACTGCATTGCTAGTTATCTGAGAGATACCAATCTCCTTCCTTCTTGTCCATTAATCTCACCATTATTTGAACGTCGACTTGAAGGATTACCACGTACGTGGGTTTGTGTAGGGGATTACGATGTATTACAAAGCGATATTACATCGTTCGTGGAAAAGGCTCGAAGTCAACATGTTCAAATCGATTTTGTGGTGGAAGAAAGTAATATGCATAATTATGCTATAACTTATCCATTATCAAGAAATCATGGGGCTCAGAAAGCTGCAAAACATATGTCTCGTTTCTTATTTGGTGATAGTCCCATAAAGAAAGCAATTAAATAGATTATTATACCATTCATTTATAGACTCATCCTTCTTGTAAACACACCAAAATAAATTCATTTTTATAGAATATAACCATTTTTTTCATTTCTTTTTTTCATATTCATATATTCATATATTTCATATATATTATATTATATTATATTATATTATATTATATAGATATAGCATTTTTATTTCTACTTTTTTTTTTGGAACATATTTTGATTTTTTAAAAAAATTCCCTTTTCATATCACATTTTTTCGCATTTTCTGGCATATTTTAGAGAATTATTTAAAAAGTCTTTCATAAACAAAAGTATTTTATTTTCTTATTCTTATTACTATTATTATTTAATATTTTTATTTTGTTAGTTCATTTTATTATTTTCTTTTTTTTTCGCGTGTGTATATTGAGATTTGAGGGATGAGTAAATTTACTTTTCTCAGTCATTGTTGCTTGCTTAATTAATTAAATACAATATTAAAAAGATCAATTATTATTATAAATAATAATAATAATAATAAAAACATTCTATTTACGAAATTGTATAAGCACTTGTCTTGATGTCTTTTTTAATACATAAAAATAAATTATTTACTAAATTTAAGCATAAAATTCATAGCAAATCAATATATCTATTTTCCAATCTATAATATATATCTTTTCTCCCTTTTTTTTTAAAAAATATATATATATATATAAAATAAATATAAACAAACTCTTTATACAAAGTACATCGTATTCATTAACTCGGATTTAACGTTACTGATAGAGCACGAGCTATTATTACTTCCGTCTGATTTCGAATCACCCCATTGAAGATAATATCTTGCACGATTTGCCATTAAATGAGCATAATATACTGGAGGAACAAGTGAAATAGCAAGTGTGCATCTTCAAAAAAAAAAAAAAGAAATAGATTAATAAATTTTGTAAAAAAAAAAAGATAATTCATGCAATGCAAAACCCGAACCTAGCTGAAAGATATGAAAGTTTATGTGTCAACGTTTGAATTCCATCAGCTGTAAAGTCGTTTTCATCATAAAGAACGGTGTAATGTATCGGGCGGCCGGTCTTTTAAAGTAAAAAAATAAAAAAAAAATAAATAAATAAAAATAAGTTATTAATCATAATAACATTTACAAAATATTAAATAAAGAATTAAATTAAATGGAAAAGATTTATACTCCTTGTAATACTGAATGTGACATAAGGTCTATAATAATATGAAAATTGCAAATTAGTATCAAAAAAATCCAATAATTCATAAATTCATAAATTCAACGTTAATAATAATAATAATATAACTTACAAAAATCAAACTCTTGAGAAACAACAATAGTGCTATCAACAACAGTTCCTGGTCGACAATTCCCATTTTTATCACCATCACGAGATTCATTTGGCATAAATCTATTTATTTATTTGCATTTTATTTTCGCGGGATACACAGAATTTTTTTTTTGTGAGAAAAATAATATCTACCTGGTGTGATGTCTTTTTTGAACTACAACAAACGTAAGTTTAGGTTCAAATCCTTTTCTATAAATCGATTCAAAAACTGCCTTTAATGCTTTTACTTCTATACGGAGTACGTGTTCAAATTGACCTTCAGACACGCCATCTCTATAAAAAAGGATTCGATCAGGGAGAGTATTGTTCTTGATATAGAACGCATGTAACAAATTGCCAGTCATTTCCTGTAAATTTTCAATGGTTTCATTTCGCGGCTCTTTATTTTTACTATAGCGACCACAGTATTCAGTAGCTTTTATATCCATAGATGCACAAACGGCAGCCACACTAGGTTGATTTTCACCTCGACCTGCGTGAAACACGTCTGCACCAAATATCATAGTCTTCAAAAATAATTATTATAAGAATTTAAAATCTCAAAGAAAAAAAAATTAAATTATCGATAAAAAAAATGCACTAAAATTCTAAAATTATTAAACGTATACCGGAGCTTCGGATACAAAGTCAAGTTGACCATTAGCAAGGAAGCAATTTTGTCCTCCTAGCTTGACATTTACTTTTAATGCAAGATTGGAACATATTTGGTCAACTCCACGTTTAGTTAATAATTTTGCTAATATTATTTGCGTAGGAACACCCATTATAGTATCGCCGATACGTTTTATTTCCCCATAAAGAGGACCAGTTTGTTCCAATATACAAAATACAATTTGAGGTGGCAATGCTTTATTAAATCTTCTGGCAAGACAACACGCTTGATACAAGGACTAATGATGATTATAACAATTTAATAAAAATTTTATTGATATTTTACAACAATATTATTAAAATAGGTTTTTACCTTTTGAATATCTCCAGATGGATTCGCATAATAAATTTCAGGATCGTTGAATACATTCTATTTTAAAATTAATATGTATTTTAAAAAATATAAAAATAAATATATATATATATATATATTATATTTTAATTTTTTACAATGACAATATTTACCATTCCTTTTTGGCTGGCAACTTCTCGAAATTGTTGAATGAAACGTTTAATAACTGGCTTTTGGTTAGCTCGTTCAGTGGAAAAGGCTATCACTGACCAATTTTGGAGGGTTTTTCCCTATGTGCAAATAAAGTAAGTATTATTATTTTTCTTTTTTTTGAATAAAAATGTATCCGCATTATATTTCTTATAATTACTTGAGTTACCATTTTATTCGTAATATTCCAACGACCTGACTCAGGAACAAACCGGGCATTAGAACTTTTTTGGTGGTATTCTAAAGCTGGAGGCGGCAGAATGCGTCCTTTATAATAATAATAATAATAGAACTTTTTAGTTGAAGATATATAATTAAACACAAATAATATTGGAAATTTTTTTTTTTTTTATTGATGTTTACCATTAACTAACATATTTTGAGACTCTACATCCATACCGATAGATTTTAATAAAGAATCTTTGTCATATTGAAATATCTCCTTGGTAGAAAAGGAAATTTGATTAAATCTTTCTTTTGGTTTGATACAAGTATATCTGATCATATCAGCAAGAGTTGTATCGGCAAGAGCACCGCTAAATCTTTGACCTATTGATCAAGTCACATATTGTATAATTTCGTTGTTTCATATAAAATATTTTATTTTATTTAAGAATTTTTATTATATGATAATTTACCTTCTAATATTTCACATACTTCCATGGGCATAAGAACTTCTTTGTTGACTATAATACAAGGTAATGTTTCAAATTCAAGTTTTCGACCATAAGTACAATAAAAGTATTCGGCAACAGTTATTTTTCTTTTTTCCTTATTAAAAGAAAATAATAATCGATCTGCAGATTCTGTGGTAATTCCTCTAACACGATAAACGGTTTTTTTTTGTCCACGATGTATAACTCGTATTTTGATTCTTTTTAGATACTATTTTTTTTTTAAAACTATTTAATAATTTTTTAATTATACCCAAAGGAAAAAATAAAAAAAAAAAAAAAAAAAAAATAGAATAATAATGATAAATAAAAACCTTGAGCATTATTTTCTTTTCATATTTATTCATACCACGACGAAATTCATCTTTACTTTTTTTTCCCAATACTTTACAAGCAATATCTAGAACGTTGCCACCTATGTAAAAAACACTTGCACAAATGTCCACGTTGATAGCCAAGCATTCTAAAGTGAAATGAATCAATAACAATAGCAACAATAATAATGATGTTGATAATAATAATGAATCTTGATTTTTAAATATTTAATATCTTTTTTTTTTTTTACCTGTTCCTGGTCTCAATGATTGATAAAAACCTTGTTTTAATTCGAGTCCACCAGGTAAAATAGTGGGTTTTCCACGAGTATCAACTGGATAAACACCTTTACCAATAGCCAAATATTTTTGACGAGCTGAAAAGTTGATATAAGTATTTAAGGCGGCTAAAGAAGTCAGGACTTCACTCATAGAGGCATTTCCACCAAATATGTGTTTTTTTAATTCGATAAAATTTAATCTTTGGACAAATCGAATAGTGGCCTCGTAAGTACCAACTTTGATCGTTCCACTGCGGCTTCTTGTTAGAGTTACCTAAATAAAGCAATTTTTAATTTTTTAAAATAAATAAAATTGTGAATTTAATCAAATATCAAATATCAAATATCAAATATCAAATATCAAATATCAAATGTCAAATATCAAATATCAAATATCAAATATCAAATATCAAATATCAAAATTAAATATCGAATACTTTAAATTGTTTTCCTCTTCGTTCGCTTTCAAGAGGGAGAGAAGTAGCCGAATATATCGCACTATTACCATCGTAAACTGCATGATAAATTTTGAATCTATTATCTTCAGCCACTTGATAGTAAATTTGCGCAATTGTTGCCTTATTTGACTTTGGAGTTGATTCAAAGCTATAATGGCTTACAATGACATTTGGGAACTAATACGTTTGAAAAATTTTATATTTAAATACATATTTTTAATTTAAATTATTTTAAATACTTTATGTAGATTATTTACATTTTTATGTAAATATTTAACACCTTTGAAACTTTAAAATAGTTGCTTCTTAATTTAACGACGTGGCCCTGTTTTCCATAACTTGTTCTTTCTGCTATTCTTGGACCAACATCTTCATTGATGTTTAATTGGCTAACTTGTTTTTCAAAGCTCACTATTATATTATTAAATAAATTAATAAACATGTAAAAATGTTTATAAAATATATATTTATGTATGTATGAAAATATTTAATAAATATAACTGTAACAAGACAAGATTACTTTTTCACTTTTTTTTTTTTCACCCAAAGGAATAATTCAAAGAGTTGCCTTTTAATGAAAGTAATGAAAATATAAAATGCGAAAAAGGAAAAGGAGAAATCTCTTCACTAAAAACTACCTTTATATATAATGTTTAACTTGATAATGACGTCAAAGTAAAAATGTATAATATTACAAAGAAAGATTAATTAATTGCGGTAATTAATATAATTAAATACACGCGCTTATTTTACACTTGTTATATTGAATAATATATATTGAATATTCAAAATATTCAAAATATTCAAAATATTCAGAATTCGGACATTCATCGTTTAGTTAAAATCAGAAATCAAATAATTATATAAATATTATTCATTTAATGTGTCATTATTAATTATTTATTAAAATAAAAAAGATATAAACTTAGTTATTTCAGTCAGACAAAGAGATATTAACTTCTTTATTTATTTTCCGAACTGAGAAATGAAAAATAAAGAGGGAGAAATGAAAAATAAAGAAAGTCAATATATATTTAAAAGAATTACAAACTCCCAAATTACAAATTACAATCCATTACGTGTAATATATAAATACAAATAAAAATACATAAAAAAAAAAAAATTAAAATATAACTAAATTTACATAAATGATACATAATAAATGATACATAATATGTAATATATAAATTACATTATTGAATGAATAATTAACATTGAATAATTGATAATGAATAAATATGATGCAAATGAAAAAAATTATGACAAAAATACATTATATGTACAAAATAATGTTCTGGAATAAAAATAACTAAATAAAGAAATAAAGAAAAAAAAAGAAATTTACTGTTCCAGTTCCAATATATTTTATATATTTTATATATTTTATATATAAAAAAAAAAAAAATACTTGTCACCGCTGGTGATAGTCACCGTTGGGCAAAATTAACAAAGTTAAGGTTAGGATCAGGGAATTATGTAATTTTGCCCAGTGGTGACAAATAGATTTACTCTTATATATATATATTTTTTAATAAAATTCATCACATACTCATAGCTCGAAGTTTCAAACTTCCTTTCCCATCAATATTTTTATTAAAATCAGGTATCCCTCGAACTCTTTCTGCCATACTTCCACGTTGATTTTCCGTTGGTAAACCTTTAAATGTATATCCAATGAATGCTAATGCTTTACGCATATCTAAAATTTCTTTTCCATGATGTTTATCTCTTAACATTGGATCCTTTGGCTTTCTTTCAACTCCGTGACCATTATTTTCTGGTGATGCTAAAGGTTTATCATCAATATTCTCTTCAAAATATCTAGTATCTATATCATTCTTTAATTGAGGAATGAATGGTGGTTTTGATTTATGTAAATTATCCCAATCTATATCTTTAAACCAAGGATGTGATTTAATTTCCGATGCATCGTCAAATCCAAATATGGCAGATTTTCTACTTGATAAATATAATTCATTAGGTCGATTTGATGATTTACTAGATCCCAATCGATCCTCCTTTTCACAAATGAGCTTCCCTATTAAATCTTGTGCCTCCCGTGATACTTTAGGTCGAGAAGGAAATTTTAAATTCGTTCGCCAATTAATAATTTTCATACGTGTAGTGTGACGCGATTTACTTATGAATGGTGGATATCCATATAACATTTCGAAAATTATAACCTAAAAAGAAAAAATAAAATAAAATATAAATTAATAATTTATTAAAATACTATAATTAAATTTATTCATTTAAACTTATATTAACTTTATTGATATTACTTACACCTAAACTCCACCAATCACAACTATTATCATAACCAGATCCTCTTAAAATTTCTGGTGCCATATAATTATTAGTACCAACAACTGAAAATGCCATCTTCTTACGATGTTGATCTCTCCAACTTAATACTCGAGTATTGGGAACATCACTATCGGATGAAAATTCTTCATCAGACCATCGCTCTATCCATTTAGATGTTCGACATTTCTTATTGGCTTTGGAAATTGTATCAATTTCAATATCTACCCCTGTCTTACGTAAAAGATCTCGCCTTTGTTGATCATAATAGGCTGAATCATGCGTCCAATGGAAATCTGTTGACAAACCGAAATCCGAAAGTCTTACATGACCATCTTTATCAAAAAGGAAGTTATCGGGCTATAAAAACATCAAATATAAATTTATTTAATATAATTTTAATATTATTTAATATTATTTAATATTATTATTATTTAATATAAAAATTAATATAAAAATATACCTTAATATCTCGGTGAATATAACCCATTTTGTGAGCTTCCTCAATACATAATATCATTTCTGCCACATAGAATTTCGCGAATTTTTCTTCGAAAATGTCTTTTTCAATAAGTAAATTTAATAAATCACCACCTGACATATATTCCATAACCAAATATAAATGTTCAGTATCTTGGAATGAATAAATTAATTTAACTATCCATTGAGCTGATTCTGTAGCTGCCGTTAAGAGATCACGTTCGGCACGTATGTGACCTTCTTGACCTTTTTTTAACATATCAACTTTTTTCATCATTTTCATAGCGTATAATATACCAGTGTTTTTTTCTCGTACAAGTTTAACCACCCCAAAAGCACCATGACCAATAGTTTTCACCATGTGAAAAGCATTAATGGTAATTCGATGACGTAACAAACGCATATAATCGGATTCAAGATTTAGCCAGGCTTGACGAATTTCTTGTTTATCTTGATCAGGTATTATCATGTTCTCTAATTCGGTTTCAAGTTGATTCCGTCTTTTGGATCGACCGGAAGGTTTCTTAAGTACTCCATAAAAATAATTTTCAAAGTAAATTTTTGCAGCGACGGATTTTTCAATAGTTGTTAAGGAAGGTACTATTTTCTTAAATTCTGGTTGGAATTCTTTTTCATCATCATAATGAAAATCCTTGAAGATGACAGTACGAAATGCATCATTAGATGAATTTGTATCTTCAAAAATTTGGCTTGCATGAATTTTATGTGGAGCAGTTCCATCTATATGATATTATATGATATTATATGATATTATATGATATATTATATATTATTACATGTTATTATATGATGTGAATATGCACATATGAGATGAAATCACATAATTAATATAATTACTTATTTTACCTGGTACTTTATTATCATTAGGATTTTTATTCAAACGTTTTAAAAATTCATGCGCTTCCTCTTCATTTTCAGTATGTATTAGGTGCCTGAAAAATTAATTGATATAATTTATTTATATATATTTTATATTTTTTAAATATATATATTCTATCTATTTTTTATACCTACTCAAAACTTGTAGGATGGGAAATATCATCTTTGTTAAAACGTTTTTTCATAAAGGTTCCAAATTGTAATGGAACTATATAGATATAGATATAGATAGTATAGAGTTAAATTTAGATTTGAATTAAATTAAGTTAGAATTCATCAATAAGCCCACTTAATGACTTAATGTTTTAAGATTTACCATTCATTTTTGTGGCAACATAATCAAGAATTTCATAAAACTTCGGGGAAGTGATAGCATTACGTTTACTATTTGGTGATTTTGCCCTAGGCAAATTATTATTATTATTATTGAAAACTGACTTTCGTTTAAACATGATGATTCTTTTTTTTTTTTTTTTAATCGTTCGTAAGTATAATAATAATAATTTTTTTTTTTCGCAGTCAATGAAGAAGAAAATAGAAAACGGGTACAATGTTTAATCTCGAGTATTTATAATTCATTTAGTATATATGTATACTATATATAGCATTAACTTGTCTTGTGTAACCTTATGACGTTAGATTTAGGGAGTATGGAATGAGCGTGGTAAATAAAGTATAAAATAATAAAGTTGTAAATAAAGTATAAAATAATAAAGTTGTAAATAAGGTATTGTAAATCGAAATAGTAAATAAAGTATGTGGTAAATAAAGCTTGGTAATAAATAAAGGTAATAAATAAAGGTAATGAATAAAGTAATAAATAAATAAAGACTAATTAACGTAACGTTAACATTTATTTTTCTGTAACTTGGGGAGGTTCAAAAAAAAAAAAATGAATTAATCTATGGTCATCCAATGGTCATCATTATCGTCATAAAATTTTCTCTCCTTTAGAAATATCCGGGTTTCCGATACCCCTTCTTTTCCTTTCTTTTTGATTACTTACTATATACAGTAGAAATCACATTATTCAAATGTTTATTAAATATATTTAATCAAATGGAGATACAAATATTAATTAAAATGAAAGGGGTTTTTTCAGGTTTCCAATTGTGTTACCTGGTTAAAATAGATTCAACCCAGAAAAAATTATTTTCCTTATGCATTAAAAAATTCCCCAATAATGGAAATCTATATATTATCGAAAATTTTCGTTCCTATAAAAAGAGGGGATTTTCTATTATCAGATTCTTTTATTACTATTTAAATGGTTTTATGTAATTGTATTTATATCGTACACAAATCTTTTATCTTATAAAATCCATTAATCCATAAACAAATATGCTTAGAGGAGGTTTTTTTTTATTATGAATGGTGGTGTAATTTGATAAAATCGATTTAATGTTTAAAAAAAAAGGATATTTCTCTCTGATTCTTGGTTTTCGCAAGATTAAAATTAAAAATTTGAAAAGATATAAAAGTATCAAAAGTATCAAAGTATTAAAATTTCAAAGCATCAAAAAGTATGTAAGTAATGTACAACAAATAAAACACAAAGAACACGAACATTTAACATGTGGATAATGTTACACTTTTGATGTGTAGATCAATATAAAAAGTATATAAGCCGTCCGTTTGATACAATTTTGGTATAATCATTCTCTTTTCTACTTTACTTCCATTGTCATATCAAAATCTATTGTGTCATCATCATCATCATCGATTGTCATTCATACACATTTAATTTTTTTTTTTAAAAAAAAAGACATTAAAGTTATTAATTTAAAAGTTATTATCATATTATCAATAAAAAATTTTTAAAGTTATATAAAATTATAATAATAAAATAATAGAACAAACGATGGAATTAAGATCTCCTTCATTTGATAAATTTAAATCAAATAATATTACCCAACAAGAAATACCAAAGAATCAAACAGAAATGCCATTTATTCAGGCTTTTCTGGTATATTTTTATTATTATCATTTATTTATTATTAATTATAATTAAAAATTATTAACTTTTATTTCACATACAAAGTATTATTTTTTCAATTTATATAATATCTATATATCTAATGTAGAATGATCGACCCAAATTATCTTTTGATACAGTTCAACTCAGGTTAAGAAATGCAAAAACATTGAATCATGAAATCGGGGAATATTTTAAAGAAAGGTAAAATCTTCAAATAAATAATTTAAATAATTTAAACAATTTAAATAATTATAATTATATTTATTAATTAATTATTATATTTATTTAATAGAGTAATAATAGAAGATAACTATATTAAAAGTATTCAGCGTTTAGCCAATAAAACATTTGTTGCTGATAGAGCATATATGGGGTAAATTTATTTATTTATTTATTTATTTATTTATTTAATTTATAAAATTTAATGATAATAATAATAACAACAATAACAATATAATAATAATAATAATAATAATAATAATTAATTTGATCATAGCACATTTACAAGTATATGGGACACATTATTCAATGAACTTATGGAAACAGCAACTTTACATTCATTTTATGTTACAAAAATATCTGATGAAATCGAAACGCCTTTACGGGAAATGACAATTGCTGATCCAAAATGGACACAATTAAAACAAGTAAAAAATTTAAATTAAATTCAACTTTTAATTCTTAAGTGATTTGATTGATTGACTGAATATATATTTATATATATATATATTTTAGGAAGAACCCAATTTGAGCAAATTAGCAAAAGAATATGAAGAAAGAGTTTCTAAAGTTAACAAGGTAAACTGTTAATTTTAATATATAATTTATTATAAAATTTATATTATTCATATTACTCCCCAGTTATTAATAAAACTTTTATTAATATTTTTACTTATAAATTTGATATTATAAAATTTAATTTTAATTTGTGAAATTAAATAGTTTAAAACTAAGAAAGAAAAACTATCTGGAAAAAGGGCAGAAACTTCTGGTAAATTTCAATTATTTAAATTATTTATACATTATTCTTTCATATTTTTATATTATTCTATATTTATTTATTTATTATATTTATTTATTATATATGCATTTCTTTATGGAATTTACAGAGAATAAATTGATTGAAGCACAAAAAGCACTTGAACAAATTAAAGATGAATGGCATTCTGAATGGTCAAAATATCTTGAGGTAAAAAATAAAATAAAATAAATATGTGATCAAAAATTATTATTATTATTAAAATATTTAATATTATTATTATTCTTATTCTTTATTTATTTTAGAGATCACAAACAGTTGACTTTATGAGATGGGTTCATTTAAAAGAAATCTTGGCAAATTTTGAGACAATGCAGGCTGAAGCATATCAAAAAAGAGTTGAGGTATATAATATTATTATATTTATGTATTATATATATTTTTATATTTTATATATTTTATATATTTTTATATATTTATATAATTATGCATATGTATTTTTTAGATTTCAGAAAAGAATTTATCTACAATAATGGAATTTAATGTACAAGATGAGATAGTTGATTTTTGTTCAAAAGCTATTGAAGGTTTATAATTTTTTTTTATAATTCAAAATGAAAAAAAAGATGAGCACTGTATATATTAATATAAATTTGTAAAATTGTGTACTAAATAAGATTATTATTATTTTAATTTGTAGGAAATTTATCTCATATTGAATTAAATAATTCAGGAAATTCATGTAAGCAAAATTAAGAATTATGCTTAATTACGTTTAATAATGTTTCATTATGTTTAACTATTGCTAATTAACTATCTCATTATTTATTCAAGTGAAAAATGCATTTGTTACTATCGGCACTATGAGGCGTAAGAGAACTCCATCACATAATTCGTATGTAATAAATTTTCACTTTCTCATTCTTTCACGTTCACTATTCGTTATTCATTATTCATTATTCATTTATTTGATTATTCATTCATTCATTCATTCATTCATTTATTCATTCATTCATTTATTCATTTATTCATTCATTTATTCATTTATTCATTTATTCATTCATTCATTCATTTATTCATTATTCATTCATTTATTCATTATTCATTCATTTATCAATTTATTTATTTATTTAAATTAAAATTAAAAGAGAAAACTTGCATCCATCAAAATCAGAGAATGATAGTACACGAAATGGAATTAATATTTTAAGGAATTCATCATCTCATACTTCTTTTACTTTTTCAAATGAAAATTCGTTTTCTTCACCTGTGGAAATATCATCACCTGGTGAGATTTCTTATTCACCTGTGGAAATTTCTTCTTCACCTGGTGAGATTTCCTCTTCACCAGTGGAAATTTCGTCCTCTTCTTTACCTAGTGAAATTTCTGTGGTAGATATATATTTATATTTTATTATTTTTCATTATTTTCATTGTAGAAAGTTTATTTTATATATATATATTATTTATTTATTTATTTATTTATTATATATCTATTTATAATAAAATAATATAATAAACAATAATACTCTTTTTAGCCAAAAGTTTTAATAGATTCTGAAGGTTATTCAATACCTCCTACTGAAAATATTAATAACAATAAATCATGGGATGGGATATCATCAAATGGCGATGAAACGGATTCGGATGCTAATTCTTCTTGGTATTTTGATTATTGAATTATTTTATAATTTATAATTTATTTTTAATAATTTATTTTTTAATAATTTATTAATTATTTATTATTATTATTATTATATCCTTTAGCATTAGCATTGTTCCAGAAAAGGCATTACGAGTAGAAATTAAACCTACGAGTACAGAAATCAACGAAGCTGATGCGGCGGCTGCGATGTCTCATGTAATTTCAACTCTCAAATCGACACCCGCATTTAAAAATCGGCCACCTCGAGGGCGAAGAGAGTAAGCATTATTTTAGTTTTTTATTTTAATTACCTTTTTGACACGCACACATAAATATAATATATATATATAACTTATATTTATAACTTATATATATATATATATATAAATTTCATTCAGTCGAAATACATATTATCCTGATAATAATTTGAGCGTCGATCAACCTTCTCCATTAAATTTACAAAGTTCTTATCGAAGATCAAATAGTTTTGGATTGTCATCACCTAATACATTTGAATTTTCGGAAATTATAAATAATAATAATAACAACGATAATAATTCTAGAGATATTTCAATAGCTGGCTCATCATCTCCATCATCTCCATCATCTTCTCATGGGGGATTACGAGTTTCAATTATTGAAACAATTAATGTAATGACTAAAGCTGGAAATGTTACTAAACTTCTTATAACTGGCGAAATAAGTCTTTCTTATAATGATATTAATAATTCATTTATAAGAGGAGAAGAAGAAGGATCATCACCATCATTTCGAATCAAGATAAATAATTTCGAAACACTTGAAAAATTTGTGCCGAATGCTTCATATCTTCGAGCAATAGTAGTTCCGGAAGAGGATAACAACAATAATAATGATAACAACAATGATAATAATAACAAAAATGATAATAATAACAACATTGATAATAATAAAAATAATGGATTATTTGATATTGATACTCGTTTATTATCTTCAACTGGTGGAAAATCAGTGGCGGTGATAAAATATCAAGTTCACATTGATCCGGAAAATAAAAATTCGTATTTACCTCTTCAAATAATTCCTCAATGGAAATGTGAATCAAATAAAACATCTCTAGTTATTGCATATCAAATTAATCCCGAATGTAAACTTATTACTACGGCGGAAACAGCAGCAGATAGAAAATTATCGAAATTATCAGATATTTCATTTATTATACCAGTTGATGGTGATGTGGTATATGTTCAATCTAAACCAACAGGAATATGGAGTACTGAAAAAAATTGGATGTATTGGCAACTTGAAGATATTGATCTTACATCTACTACAACATCTACAGCGACTACACCTATTACTCCAACTACACCTATTATTCCAACAACAACAGGGGCAGCAGCACCGGAGACACCTTCAACGCCATTTACACCCATGATACCATCACCATCAAATAGTACTTCTTCTTTAGATCAAAAAAAAATAATCGCACGATTTGGAACAAACAAAACTTCACAACCAGCACCGGCAGCTGTCAAGTTTGTTTGTAAAGGACAATTACTTAGTAATATTTCTTTGGAAATAGTAAAAAATGACAATCATTCTGAATCTAATAATAATAATAATAATAATAATAATAATTTTTCTCAATTTCAAGATATAGAATGTAAAATTGTTAGTGGGAAATTTATAGCTTCACCTTAAATTATTTTATTTATTATTATTAAATTACTTGTGATTATTATTAATTATTATTATCATTAGTTATTGTTACTTATTATAATCATTGTTATTATTTTTAAAATATATTTAGATATATAATTTTTTCTTTTTATAATTTCTTCATAATTTTTCATATTTCTTTATAATAATATTTCTAAAAAAAAAACTCAATTCAATTTTAAATAATAAAAACCATTCATTTCACATTCACACATATATATTTATATATTTAAACTTTTAAATAATATATATAAATATATAAATATAAATATGTAAATAATTTACTAAATTTTTTTTATATTATAGAATAAATATTTAAATAAATTATTCTTCTTCTTCTAAATTTGGTTGCAAGTTATGATATGACTTATTAAACTTATAATGACTGGAACATTGTCTGGCTGTTCTAGTTTTTACATGTTGAGAAACTTTAACCCACCGTTTCCCAAAAGAATTAAATCCTTCTTTAAATAATCTTTTCTCTTCTTCATTCCAACGTCCTTGAATGGCTCCCGGAGTTTTATAATGTGTACAACATTGTCTAGGTGATCTAGTTTTTACTAATTGAGAAATTTTATTCCAATTACATCCAAATTTTTCTATCCCTAAAGTAAACAATTCTCTTTCTTCTTCTGTCCATCGTCCTCGTTTAATAATATCTAGTGAATGTCTATATCGATTTGAACATTGTCCATATGTTCGCGTCTTTATAAGTTCGGAAATTTTATACCAATTCTTACCATATTTTTCTAATCCTTCGTTATACGCTTTTATCTCTTCTTTGTTCCAACGTCCTTGAGTAACATATGGATTTAAATGTGAATTATTCTCTAAAAATATTCTAATAAATCTTATATTCTTATGTGGAAATCTTTCTTTTAGTCTATCCCAATTAAATCCAAATTCCTTTAAAGCTTCATGTAACATTCTTCTATCCTTTTCCGTGAATTGATAATTATGCATATACGCATAATGTTTTCTTAAATGTCTTGGTGGTCTATTTAATATTCCAGCGAATTTATCCCAATTCATTCCATGGTCTTTAACTAATTTTAATAATGTTTCATCTTCGTCTTTGGAAAATCTTCCTCGCTTATATTGAGAAATTGATGCCCATCTTCCTCTTACTTCTATATTAGTTTTGGTTTCTATAAAATCCGATATTTTACTCCATTCCCCCACACCAAATGTCATTATTCCTAACATTAATTTTCTATCTTCTTCTTCCGTCCAATTCTTACCTCCATTTAATGAAGTAACTTTTAATTGCCAATCATAATATTTATTCACTAATGAAACTGCTGTCCTATCCAATGATGTGTTAAATTTAATAAATTTCCATTTTGTACCATATTTTTTGGTGGCAGCTTCTAATTCAGTTAATTCTTCCGGTCTCCAGGGTTTTATTGTTTTACCCAAACATTTTACATGTTCTTGATATCTAATGACTCCATTATTCACCTGGTTTGTTGTATTTGTCGCATTTGACGGTTTCGGGGAATGTGGAATGAGTCGAGCGCTACCTGCTGGTTTAGTTGATTTAATGTTGCGTTTTGAGGTTACTGCAGTAGTAACAGTTCTTCTCAGGAACGTTGATATTGTATCATAATTGTAAATTGTTTGTCGAAATAATGAATTCCCTAAATTTCCGCATATTAAATTCTTGAAGTTTTTTACACTTAAATTTCCGGAATGCATTTAAAGAAAAATGATGACACCTATACATATATATACGTATATATATATTTGAAACTTGTCAGCCAACCAGAATTTAAGAATTCGATCTATTTTTTTTAAAAAAAAAAATTTTATCAGTAAATTTTTTTTTGATTAAATTATATATATAAATCGTTAACCAATATAAAAAATAGTTTATTATTTAATATGAAAGTTATGAAAATAAATAATTTCAATATTCCTAATATCTTCTTACCTCGTACTCCCTTTCATACCGCTCATATCTCTAATATCTCGTTATTATTTTATCGTAATTTTTTCGTAAGTACGATAAACAGAAAAGGTGGACCTCGTAATAAAGTAAAAAGACTTTATGGAAAGAAAAAGACGGAAATGAAGCCAATATTATCAAGATTATCATCACCTTTAATACCTTCACCACCTTCTTCGGTTAATATTAATAATGAGAGTAGTAAAAAGAGTAAGAAAGGTAAGGATAAGAAGGGTAAGAAGAGTAAGAAGGATAAGAAGGATAAAAAGGTTAAGGAAACTGATAGTAGTAAACCAATTAAACAAATTGAAATACGAAAAATACCGGATATACCAGAACTTAAAAGAAAACCAAAAAAAGCAAAAAAATCAGCAAAATCACCGAAATCACCGAAATCACCAAAACCCGAAGAATTAGTACTATCCGAAAAACCAGAAGCAGAAAGATCAATAAAATCACTAAGATTAGAAAAACCAGAGAGATCTAGAAATATATTTAATATATCAGATAGACTTGAAAGAAGATCAGAAAGGTTTGAAAGATCGGAAACACCAGGAAGATTTGAAAGGAGATTTGAAAGACAAGAAACTTCAGGAAGATACGAGAGGAGACCAGAAAGATTTGAAAAGAGACCAGAAAGATTTGAAAGGAGACCAGAAAGATTTGAAACAAGACCGGAAAGATTTGAAGGGAGACCGGAAAGATTTGAAGAGAGACCAGAAAGATTTGAAAAGAGACATGAAATGGGATTTGAAAGACCAGAAACATTCGAAAGTTTTGAAAAAAAACCAGGAAGATTAGAAAGGACAGCAGAAAGATTTGAAAGACCAAAGACATCAGAAAGATTTGAAAAAAGACCAGAAATATTGGAAAGGAGAACAGAAAGATTTGAAAGACCAAGACCAGAAACAACAGAAAGATTTGAAAGAAGACCAGAAATATTGGAAAGGAGAACAGGAAGATTTGAAAGACCAGAAATGTCAGAAAGATTTGAAAAGAGACCAGAAATATTAGAAAGGACAACAGAAAGATACGGAAGACCAGAAAAATTAGAAAGATTTGAAAAGAGACCAGAAATATTAGAAAGGACAACAGAAAAATTTGAAAGACCAGAAATGCCAGAAAGATTTGAAAGAAGACCAGAAATATTGGAAGCATTTGAAAGACCAGAAATGCCAGAAAGATTTGAAAGGAGACCAGAAATATTGGAAAAGAGACCAGAAATATCAGAAGTATTTGAAAGATCAGAAATACCAGAAAGATTTGAAAGGAGACCAGAAATATTGGAAAAGAGATCAGAAGTATTTGAAAGACCAGAGACACCAGAAAAATTAGAAAAGAGATTAGAAATATTAGAAAGGAAGCTAGAAAGATTTGAAAGACCAGAAGCACCAGAAAGATTTGAAAGGAGATCAGGAATACCAGAAAGATTAAAAGTGAGATCTGAAATTTTAAATGAAAAAGATAATAGATAAAAAAAAAGATTAGAAAAATTAGAGAAATCTGAAAATTTAGATGAAAAGGATGAATTATTTAGAAAAAAATTAGAAAAATTGGAAAGAGAAAATTCAGATAAAAAATTAATAAAATTAGAAAGAGAAAATTCAGATAGAAAATTAGAAAAATCAGAAAGAGAAAATTTAGATGAAAAATTAAAAAAAAGGTTAGAAATATTAGAAAAGGAAAAGGAAATAATTTTAAGAAGAATGATGAGAGGTAATGAGATTGAAAAGAGTGAAAGGAATAGAAAGAACTATAATGATATGTCTATTTATGAAGATGAGTATTATATTGAAACACAAGCAAGAATTAGAGAGAAGAAAAGAAAAAGAGCTTTTGCTAGACAAGAAAATTGGATAGAAAATTATGAAATTGCAAATTTAGAGTTGTTTGAAGGTACATAATGAATTAGATATTGAATTTTATTATTATTTTTACTTTTTAAAATTATTTTAATTTATTTTAACATCTTCATACCATTTTTATTATTTTATTAACAGATTTTCCAGCTTGGATAGCAGGGCTTAGATTACAAAAATATGAACCATTATTTGAATATATGACTGAAAAAGGTATTTTAAATCTGACTGATGCTAAATTAGAATCTTTAGGTATGACATTAGGTGCAAGAAATTTATTATTAAAAGCTTTGGAAAAAATTAGAGAAGCTAAAGAACAAAATGAAAAAAATGAAAGTAACAAATTGATAAATGAAGCAAAATGAAAGGAAAGAAAAAAATTTTAAAATATAGCTAAAAATATAGAAAAATATTATTTATAATTTATGTACTCTTTATATATCATAATTTAATTTTAATTTAAATAATTTATATACATTTGACAAATAAATGTAAAATTCCAATTAATTCAAATTGTTTTATATTTTTTTTTCTTCAATAATAATCAAATAAATAAATAAACAATTGCACAAGAAATTATTTGAAATTATTTAAATATTTGGACATGAAAAATTATTATTAAATTAACTTATTTACACATTTTTGATAATTTTATTATTATAACTTATTCCATTAATTAAAATTATCAATATAAAATTACTCAATAATACTTAATACTTAGTTAAGAAAGAACACGTTTTATTAATACAATACAGGGATATCAAATTAATTCAACATTTACATACAGGATTAAAAACATTATATTAAATATTTATCTATTATACAATATGTTAATTTATTCAGTGTCAATTTTAAATCATGTATACAATTAGATTCTTTAATTTCATATAGACATCATTTTACTACCATTTTTGTCTGGTATATCGATTTTTCATGGTGCATTACTATATTTAATAACATTATATGGTGATGTAAATCAATAAAATGCTAATAGTGACACGACATCAAAATTTTTTTTTGTTTCACGCCCCTGATTTTCATTAATATAGATATATATAGAGACTTAAATTTTTCAAATTCCCAAAATCCCCTTTTCCTTTTCTCTTTTTTCAAATTTTTTTTACAAATTTTTTTATTTGATAATAAACTGTCGTTATTATTCTTACGTTTTACCTCCATTTTTTTTAAAACGGCAGTGGTTTATTCATAATAACCTTTATCATTTCAAACTTTTATTTTTTTTTTAAAGATTTGTTTTTTAGGTGCTTTTTACTATTCTTTAGTTTGTTATAGAAAACTCGTTGGTTCTATAGGTTTGTTATATTCATTAATTATCATCTTTTTTTTTTGTAGTATGGTAAATACTTACTTGTTTGTTACTAACTGTTGTTTATTTAGTTCGTTTATACTGTAATCGTTTTATAGATATTCATTTTTTTCGTTGAGCTGGAAAATCGACAAACGAACTACCAACGAAGAAAACGTTAGTATTTTATGGTTTACTGAGAAAACTAACAATAAACAATGAACAATAACCAACAACAAAAATTAAGTGGATGAAAAAGTTGCCAGTATTTTTGGTTCGTGGGAAAATTAATTGATAAGAAATGGATTGTACTAATTATTACTGACACTATTGCTTGCTTGGAAACAAAGTCGGTATTAACTATCGTTGTTTGAAATATTAGTGGATAAAATTCTTTCTTAGATGTTTGGACTACCTTTGTTTTGTGACAGATCTAATATTTATCATTATAGAAAAGATTTGATGACAAATATTTGACACAAAAAAATAATATCGGTGATAAATATTATACGTTCATTCTATTATTCTAACTCTTTTCTATTTCTTTTACTGGTGAAAAAGAAAGAAATGCAATTGAAATATTCGATTGCGAAACATCATTTGACGACGATGAAAAAAAAAAATATCTACCATAATTTTTTCATAACGAAAACGGATGAAATATTCGATGGCTAAATATTTTCACGGCATGATGGAGCTGATGAAAAAATATTTATATTTGTGCAATTAATTCTTAATTTTATTTTCTAATAACTAAGTATATAAAATATTTGATTCGAAATATTTATGTGAAAGATCAGATACAGATAAAAAAGAGAATATGACGACGATGAATTTTACACTCAATTGATTCCTTCTTAATTTTATTATTTGATACGAATAGTAGATGCGAGCAAAATGGTTGATGATGAAAAGAGTAAACCTATTTTTATTTTTATTTTATTTTTTTATTTTTTAAATTTTCTTCATTTTTTACACCCAACTAATTCTTTTTTAATTCTTTTCTAATTTTTAAAGTTATGAACAAAACTTTTGATGATGACGAAATGAAGAAGAAAAGAATAATCAGATTTTTAGGTCACTTCTTCATTCTTAATTCAACTAATTCTTTATTGAATTCTTTATTAACAAAATAGACTGAAATGGTTGATGAGAAACATTTTGATGACTAAATTATAAAAAACATTTCTTTTATTTCTTACTTTACATCTAATCTATTCTTTTTCAGAACTTCAAACTAGACCTAAAAAATGTACGCGTGTAAATTTGGAATCTATTATCGAAAAATTAAGACAGGTAAATGCAATTTATTTAATTAATTAACTCTCAACCAATTATACCGAAATTAGTCAAATTTTCTTTAATTTCTAGGCGAAATTTTTGAAAAAAATAAAGTGAAAAATAGAAGAAACGTGACGAAAGATAACGATGACGATGATGATGGTAAAAAAGAATTAGTTTTTATTTCATTTTTCATATTTGCATTGTTTTCTGCTTCATTTCTCATCAGATTAATTCTTTTTATTCTTTTCTAATTCTTTTAATAAAACAGACGGAAAATACGCATAGACAAGACATAAAAAAATATTCTTGTTATTCTAGTTAACTATACTAACACTTTTTTATTATTACTAATCACTTTTTTTAGAATCTTTTTCTGGTGAGCTCTCTTATCGAAACTCTGTTGAACAGGGATTTCTTTTTGCTTGGCGATCTTCGGCATGGAGAGGAGAGGAGAGAGAAGGCTAATTACTGATGATGCTTTGGGATTATCGGAGCTTTCTTTTTGCTAGACGATCTTTGGCATGGATGAGGAAAGAGAAGGCTAATTACCGATGATGCTGTTGGGATTATTGGGGCTTCCTTTTTGCTTGACGATCTTCGGCATGGATGAGGAAAGAGAAGGCTAATTACCGATGATGCTGTTGGGATTATCGGGATTTTCTTTTTGCTTGACGATCTTCGGCTTCGGAATGGAAGAGATACTGTAGGACGGATAGGGTAAGTACTTTACATGATTTTATTGATTTTTATTATTAATTATTACAAGTTTTTTTTTTTAAAGCAATAATATCTCTTCTTTTTTATAACTTAGTGATTTCTCACCCTTGGTTTAACGGCACGATCGGTCGTTTACAGCGTGCTGTAGGTCACTAAGTTTTTTTAAAAATAATAATTATAGTAAAGATATTCATATTATTATAAGTCATATTATATATTTTAACCATAAATTTATATTTTATCTATTTTTTTTTTGAAAAAAATAAAGCATTCGGTAGGGAAGGTTGACAAATAACAATGCTATGGGATTGTTCTGATTTTAGCTTTTCCGCCGCGCGTTCCAGGGGTGTTGGATTAAGATTCTTTTTCCTGAGGGATGAAGGTATGTTAAATTTACGATTTCTTTGTTTATGATTTCTTTGTTTATAATTTTTTTTATTATTATGGTATGATTTTGTCTATGTGTATTTTTTGTGAGATATATTGAATTTCAAAATAAGATTTAATAAAGTTTTATTTACAATAATAAAATACAATAATGAAATACAATAATGAAAAAAATAATAATGAATACGTGTAATATTGACATATAATATAAAATAAGTAATATAGTTATGTAAATTTTATTAATTAATCTGTCAAATGATTAAATAAATTAAGAAGTTAAATTAAGAAGTTAAATCATAAATGATAATATCAGTAGAACAATAAATATAATTTCAGAGAAATATCAAACAATTATTTATATATATATTTATATAAACTTCAAAGAAAATTTGAAACAATAGACACAATGACACGTTTTGTCAGAATCTAAATGCATACTTATATATCTTAATGTATGCAGATCGATAATACGGGCAGAAATATATAATAATATATATATATCACAATAAGAAGAAAATGTGATCCGATAGAGAAGCCCTTTACATTTTCCCTTACATTTGGCTAACACCGTTATGCATTCCTTTCGGCACATGGAATTTTTTAGACTTAATTATGGTTTGGCCATGGTTTGATTTATAATTCAACTATGGGGAAGGTATGACGAAATGGATCGATTATTATGGTTTGGAATATGATTTGTTGGTATGTTAAACAATACAATTATTATTACATTATTAATAAACTATATGACATAAGAAAATTCATCCAATTATTACTATCTTTAAATATTATCTAACTTTATCTAAGGTGAAAAGACATTATTTTATAAATATTTATATGAATATCACATGGATAAAGTTTCTTTCCATTTTATTAATTTTATTAATTTATATGGTTTTCTTTGTGGCGTACGTATATAACGTGATATTTAATTAAAATAATCTAAATTCAGTGATCTGATGGTTATTACATGTTTCCAAATTCAAACAAGGGATTTTTAATTCCCGATTGTACACTCTTGTATACTCTTGTATACTCTTGTATACTTCTTGTATACTGTTATATACTCTTGTATACATGTTATTTACTTTTGTATACTTCTTATATACTTCTTATATACTCTTATATACTATCATATATACTATTTACGATTATTGTATACTATACTATTGTATGAATTCATTGATTACATCAAGATACATCAAGTATACATCAAGGATACATCAAGTATGATATTTATTTGGGAATAGTGATGATGCGTTTAAATTTAAAAAAAAAAATTTTCAATTTTTTTTTTCTTTGATTGAGGTGAACAAATTGAATGCAAAAATAATTGTTATATTATTATATTAATAATAATATATATTCTATTTTATTTCGTTCACAATGTAAAATTATTTTATTTTTGTGATTGCAGAAAGAAAGCGCCACACATAAAAATAAAGATGTTGTCGGAAATGGATTTGGTCAGCATTGTTAAAAGGTCTCTAAAAGGATTTTGAAATTCTTTCATTGTTAAAAAAATTATTGTAATAACGTTTTAAAAATTATATTAATTATATTATGTTTTTATATAATTCATTGGCTGATTATTGGAATATAATATTTATAATATATATTGTATTTTCGATATTGTATTTTTTATTGATCAACTTGCATGCATTAATTATACAAAAAAAAAAAAAAAAAAAAAATCCCAATATATTTATTTATATCATTATTGTATTTCCTTCTATATAAATACACTCCCATGTTGAAGGATTTTCTCTCCAAATTAAATTCATTCTTCTCCAAATTTTCTAATTTCTTCGATTGTCACTTTTATCAATTTTATCAAAAAAATATGGCTGACTCTTTAGCAAATCAAAGTAAAATTCCTATGGTTGCTATTACGGTTCATCCTACTAAATATAATGGTACTCAAGACCCTGAATCATGGTTACAAGATATTCGTTTCTTTTGTCGTCTTCACGGAATTGATGAAGAGGAAGATATAGTTTCTTTTTCCATGTTAAAAGTTGACCCTATGATTTATGTCCCTGAAAAAACTTCCACATTTTCCGGTTTGGTAAAAGCTTTAAAATCTCATGTTACTTATCCTGTAATGGAAGCTTCGGCTCTTCATAACCTTCGAAAATTGAAATATAGTTCAAATATGGAGATGTCAGATTTCATATCAACATTTCTTTCCTTATGCCGAAGTGCCAGTGTTAGAAATTTAGAAGAACAAAAATCTTATTTGTTAAATTCTTTACATGATGATAATATAAGAAATGTATTATCAACTAAATTTAGAAATGTTGATGAATTTGATTGGGTAATAAAAATCTTTCAAGGAATTTTATATGAATATCCTTTACATCAAATACGTTATGGCTCTAGAATCACCATTAAACATTGTGTCACCGGTCAATACTTATCACATGGTGAACATAAACCAATTGAACCTGGATCTCAAAGTTCAAGGGTAAATATTGATAAATATTTATGTTTTTGAAATTATTAATTACACTTTAAATTATACTTTAATTATACTTTAATTACTATAATTAGCAGTAATTATATATATATATATATCTCATACTTTTACTCAATTTATATTATTATTATCATCATTATTATTTATATTATTATTATTGTTATTTATTAAATAACAGGTTTATTGTAATGGATGTAAACCTAAAGAAAATGAAGTATGGATTGTCACATCCCCATATAGTGAAAATAAATCACCGGGAGATCCCGTACGTTTCAATTCTATCATTGGTTTAAGTCATGGAAAATCGCGTGCAAACTTATCCGCATCCGATGATCGTGATGGTAAATAGAAAATCTTTTATTTTTATATATATATCCGTTTTTCATTATTATAATAATATCTCATCATTATTATTTTTTTATTATCTACAAATTATTTTTTAGTATTGACATCTTTGGGTAAAGATAAAAGTTGTAATTGGGTTGCAAGAAGACACACCACAGAATCAGGTTATCATAATGACAATAGTGGTGTTTGGGCGATAGGTGATATCATCATTTTAGAACATGTAAATAATAGATTACCTTTGTACACTCGAGTTCAAGATTATGAAGGTAATCAAGAAGTTGTATTGGAAGGTGATGGTTTTGAAGAGAATAATAAGGTATTTCTTTTTTTATATATATTATTTATCTATTTAACTGATATTATTCAAGTAAATTTTTTATTTTTATTTTTATTTTTTTTTTAATAAATTTTATTATTATAAATTTTTTTTTTAGTGGTACGCTGAAATCGTCGGACAATAATTGTTTACTAAATTATACAATAAAAATAAATTTTTATAAATTTCAAAAAAAAAAAAAAAAAATCAAAAAAAAAAAAAAACCTTCACCTCTTGTACAAATTCACAATCATATATAATAATTAGATTTTATATATACAGTTTATATATATTATATATAGTATAGATTTTGTTATTGACAAAGTAAATATATATATGGCATCATTTTATTCTATCTTATTTTATTTTTATTTTATTTTTATTTTTATTTTTTTATTTTATTTGTTTTTATTTGTTATTTGTGAAAGTTTTTATTTTCTATTCCTTAAATTATATTAAATTAACAAATTATACATTAAATTATACATTATTAAATTAAATAATACATTAAAAATTCATCAACTACAAAAATTATCAAAAAATCAATTAAAACTTTTGTAATTTTATTATTATTATTAATTACGTTTAAATAAATAATTATTATAAATTAGGAAATCAAATTTTTTTTTTTGAAATATGAAAATATAAAAAATGATGATCATTATGGTTAAATTAAAATGATGTTTTTTCGTCAAATTTTTTCACGTTCTACCACCACTTCTAAAGGATATGCTGATATCACTTCCATAATTCGTTATTCCAAGTTTGTAACTCGCCCGTTTTCGACTAATTTTTCTAATTTCAAACCTGCTTCCCCTTTCAATACTTCCGACTTAAAAAACTTTCGTACAGCTCCTTTGTATATTAATGGTGAATTCGTAGAATCAAAAACTGAACAATGGATACCCGTTTATAATCCCGTAATTAATTAATTATCTTAATCCATCAATTATCTTAATTATATTAATTATATTTCAATTTTTTACTTAATTGTATATTTTATACTATTTATTATATTACACAGGCAACATGTGAACTAGTAACCCTTGTTCCGGAACCTACCCTCCAAGAATTACGAGATGCTGTTGATAACTCTGCTGATACATTTAAAACATGGCGTAAAACCACAGTTCTCGCCAGGCAACGGATTTTATTAGAACTTCAACAATTGATTAGAAGGGATATGGATAAAATCGCAAAATCCATTACCGAAGAACAAGGGAAAACATTTTCGGATGCTAAAGGGGATGTTTATCGTGGATTACAAGTGGTTGAACAAGCTTGTAATATTACCAATTTATTAATGGGGGAACAATTGTCCGTTTCGACTGATATGGATACCTATACTATCCGAGAACCTTTAGGTGTTACGGCTGGAATTTGTCCTTTCAATTTTCCGGCCATGATCCCTTTATGGATGTTCCCTTTATCTATTGCCGCCGGTAATACTATGATAATTAAGCCATCCGAAAAAGATCCAGGTGCCACCATAATTCTTGCTGAATTAGCTAAAGAAGCGGGAGTTCCACCGGGTGTTCTTAATGTTGTTCATGGATCTATTAATACCGTAAATTTCTTATGTGATGATGATCATATAAAAGCAATTTCTTTTGTTGGAAGTGATAAAGGTAATTCCTTTTTTCTTTTTTTCATTTATGTATTTTTATGTATTTCATGTTGATCATAATAACCCCTTTAAAATTTAAACAGCCGGTAAATATATTTATAAACGAGGAACGGAAAATGGAAAGAGAGTTCAGGTAGATTATTATTATTATTATTTTTATTATTATTATTATTCTATAAAAATCTTTATAAAACATTTTCAAACATTTTTTTTTTTGAATAGGCAAATTTAGGTGCAAAAAATCATGGAGTCATTATGCCTGATGCAAATAAGGTTTGTTCTTTGATTTACTTAAATTGATTTTTACTTCTTCTTTTAGCCTATTCATGTTTTATGTGTTTATGTTCATATTTTGCAGAATCATACACTCAATCAACTTGCTGGTGCTGCTTTTGGTGCTGCAGGACAACGTTGCATGGTACTTTTTTTTTTTTTTTTAAAAAAAAAAAATAAAAAAAAATTTGTAAATTCTAATTGTAATTAAGAAAAGAATTTCAATATTCATTTTTCACATCAACAAATAGGCATTATCAACAGTTATATTTGTGGGTGAAACAAACGAATGGTTACCCGAACTTGTTGAAAGAGCAAAACATCTAAAAATATCAGGTGGCATGGAACCGGATACTGATCTAGGACCATTAATTTCTCGTGAGGCAAAAGAACGTGTGAAATGGTTAATTCAAAGTGGTGTCGAAGAAGGGGCCAAATTGGTTTTAGATGGTAGTAACCCTACTGTTCCTGAACATTATAAGAAAGGAAATTTTGTTGGTATGAAATAATAATACTTTAATTTTAATTTTTTAATTTGTAAATATTTTAACAATTCATAAATATAAATATTTCTTTCTTTATTCGTATAGGGCCAACAATTTTGACCAATGTTAAACCACATATGATTTGTTATAAGGAGGAAATATTTGGACCTGTTTTAATTTGCCTTAGCGTTGATTCCTTGGATGAGGCGATAGAGTTGATCAATAATAATCCTTATGGTAATGGTACAGCTATATTTACAAATAGTGGAAGCAACGCTCGTTATTTTGTTACGAATATTGAAGTCGGACAAATAGGAGGTAATTTACAAATGAAATAAATAAAATATAAAGTTTTCTGATTTATGAAAAGATAAACTTTCCTTCCTATGATTTTTTTTTGTTTTTTTTTTGTAGTAAATATACCAATTCCAGTTCCTTTGCCAATGTTTTCATTCACTGGGAATAAAGGATCTATTCAAGGAGATCTTAATTTTTGTAATTAAATCTTTTACCTTATTACTTTATTATTATTATTATTATTATTATTATTATTATTATTATATATTTTGTTTTATTTTATATATATTTTTACCTATTTATTTTTGTAGATGGTAAGTCAGGATTACAATTTTATACACAAACCAAAACAGTAACTTCTTTATGGAGGCAAGAAGATGTTGAACACAAAAAATCAGCAGTATCAATGGTAAAGTGAATATTTGTTTTTTTGTTATTCATCAATTGTGTTTATTGTGATCATCTTTTTTTCTTATCATTTTTTATATTTTTATAAATTGTTATTATTATAATAATAATAAAAGCCCACAATGCGATAATAAAGTAATTTCTATCTATATACCGCCGTAAGTGAAATATTAGAATACCTTTGTGTATTAGAATTTACAAATTTACATAGGTGCAATGAAATGAAATATAAATATATTATATATATATATACATATAATTTATTTAATTTATTTAATTTATTAATTTTTCATATGTAAATATAATACTTGTCCGGTAACAAATGAACGAAATATTTTTTTGTTTTATTGTAGTCAACGAAATATTCAATATATAATAAACATTATTTGTTTGTCACATGTTCAATAACTAGTATAACTAATTTTATTAATATTTTCTAAATTTAAATATATTACAAGTGATTAAAATAATTTTTTGATACTCAAAAATGGTTATTAAATACTTTCCGCGAAAGTTCATATTAAATATTAAAATATTAAATAAATTTTAACTATGTTGTATATATACATTTATGTTTTTTTTTATATAGGCGACAGATATGAAGTTATTACTAAACTTTTATGGAGTTCTTTTAAAGTTTCAAGCATGGGATTTTGATTTTTATAAGGAAAAAATGAAATAAAGTAATTTAATGGGGAAACCTAAAATGCAAAAAACATTATAATTATTAAATATTTAAAATATTAAAAATAAATAAATAAATAAATAGTAAAATTATCAATGAACTTACCCATTTAGATAAAATTGATGGCCAAATTTTTACTTCTTGATCGGATCCGAACTTTGGATTCTTTAGATATGCTGGTCCAAATTTTTTAAAGATTTGATGATTCAATACCGTTCTATTGAATTAGAATAGAATAAAGTGATGTTTTAATAAATTAAAATACATTAGTTGATAAGAAATAAAAAAAAAATGTATGGAAGATAATTATAAAAATTTACCCAAAGAGTAAACTGGCCAGTTGGAACCAATTCTCTCCTGATTTTATAGTTGCATAGTAAACTAATTGGTCTACTATGAAAAAATACTGGAACTCGAGATCAGCCATTTTTTTATTAACTTCCTATTTAATCAAATCAAAATATATATATATATATTTATTTAATATTTAATATGATTTAATTAATTCGAGTTCTTTTTTTTTTTTAAAAAAAAATAAAAATATTTCTTAACCTCATCTTTATTAGTCTCAAGTAACGAAAAAAGACGAATACTTCGATTAAATTCACTAAGAAATCGAACAGCATGATTTTCAAGTATACTAAATGCATATGAAGTTTTATATCCAGAGGCCAACTATTTGAATTAAAAGAATTAAAAGAATTAAAAGATAACTAAGTCAATTGCACGAAGAAAAAAAAAAATTTAAACTTTTAATAAAAATAAAACTTACTTGGAAATTAGAACAATATCCAAAACTTATTCTTAATGGGATCCAATAATTTTCTGATGGTCTATTTCTATTGTAAACTGTTACTTGCTCTTGAATATATTTTTCCTATAAAAAATTTTAATTAATTTAAAAAAAAAATTCGTATCTTTAAATAATAAAAATAATAGAAGAAAAAAGAAAAAAGAAAAACAATTCTTACTCTTCTCACATTTTCCGCATTTTTGATAAGTGCCTTAATATTTGGTCGTACTATTATTTCATGGCATAATTTTGATCCTATTTCTTTTCCTTCTTTCGGAAATTCCAAATTGAAATACATAGTATCATTTACAATTTCATATTTTAAAGGATTGGGAAGTGAATTTTTGATTATGATTTTTCGATATTTTTCATCAAAATGAATGATCCAATCCTCATCTTCTTTCAGATTGGAATCACGACGCAAAATTTTACCTGAAATGAATAAAAAATAAAATAATAAAATAAATTAAATATATAATAATCAACTGAATTTAACAACATTCAAATTGATATTTACCCATTAAAGCATCAGATTCTTTGTAATCCACTTGTATTGAAGGCATACGGCATTCAGCTTTAAGTTTAAGGGTTTGTTGATAATCCTTAACAAGTCTACAATTCACATATATTTCAACTATTTTTTCCTCTACTAAATTAGGATCTCTTGTATTTCCTTTATCCAAAAATTCTTGAATCTCACGAGAAGGCATTGGTCTAAAACGTATATAAACCCGTACATTGGTCTCCGGATCAACTGTAAGTGTCTTAAATAATTTTGCTGACATTCGCGATGTTGAGAAAACTATTTCAGTTGGATCATTATAATCAAGATTTGTTTGGAACTAAAATAAGAAAAAAATATGCATATATCAAAATTTTCATTAAATGATTTTTTTTATCCCCCCTTGAAGTTTTGATTATCTTTAAATGATTACTACAAAAAAAATTTTTTTTTTTTTACCTTAAATTCCAAAGGAACAGTCTCTCTATTATAAATCACCATGCTTCTTGCCGAATATTCAGAACCGTAAAAAAGATTAAACATTTCAATCAATGTTTGACTACTATCAACACCGTTCACATATATATCGAATACATGGTTATTAGAAAAAGGAGTATTTGCACCTCGTCGTAAATTTTGACGAGCAACAATCTCCATTAGAATTCTGATGGTTTTTGTATCCGAAGGATTTCTTAAATTTTCAACAATCAAATAAGTTGAATAAATGTTTCGAGTAATGGTTGAAAAGCTCAAGGTGATAGTGTGACTATCATTATATTGTCTATTATGTTCATCAGGTGTTGATTCTAAAATTCCTTCGGTTCGACTTAAATTTAACCAATTCTTATCACTCACAGAAACAGTTTTTAAACGATAAGGTATTTGCTGATTTGACGAATTTTCAAGTGTCAATTTTTTCACAATTGTAGGAGAACCCAAATCTTGTTGACCAAGATCAAGTTCATATCGACCACCAATGTCAGTTACTTCCCATATCCGTTTGCAACCTCGTAAAGTAATATATGGAAGTTCGGTTGAAGGTTCTATTGGCCTATCCAACAGAGGTGCAAATTCGGAAACATCTGATGACGTATCGGAGGTTTCATCAACTCTCAATAAATTCTTTGCATTGGTACGAATTTCCCTTGAATCAGATTCTATACTAATATTGACAGATTTCTTTTGACCTGATAATGATTGTAAATCTACTATATGAACTTTAATGTCTTCTGAAACCGCAACAGTTAAGTATACTAGAATTATTTCCAAGGTAAGTTTTTGACCAGGTTCAACAATTCCACAACCATTTTTATCCAAAGGTTGAACATGAATAATATCCCTTCCCGAAAGTTCCATTGGACCTTCTATTTGAACTTTAAATGAAAGCGGAATCCGATCCGATAAATTTACTATAGTGATGTTATCTTTTTGGGCTGGCCAATCTTTTAATTCTTTGAGATTATTCAAATTTTCTTCTAATTTTGATAAATTTTTGCGAAACAATAATGAGTCTTCGTTAATATCACCTATGTTATCGTTGTTTATGGTTTCAAGATCTGAAGAAGTCCACGCTGTTTTGAATAGAATTCTCTTTGGGGATACAGAGAAGGTCGGAGATTCGGTAATGAAACCCCGTATTGGTATGTTTTCTGCTACTTTTTGTACTACTTTATCGTCCTCATTGATATTTTGTTTGGTCGCAACCCAAAGTTTACCAAAAGTCACTCCATCATTATTTGTAAGATAAGATGATTCACGAGGAATTCGAATATTTTCAATGGGATAAGCTCGTACTCTGACTTCTATTGAACCATGCCCGCTTACAGATACTCCACCGACTAAGGGAGAATTTGAAAATCGAGAAAGAACTTCAACTTTTATAAATTTCGATACATCCGGTGCAAGTTCAACTCCAATTTCAAATCGAATATCGTGATCTCTACTATTAAGTATTGTGAACCAAGCATCACAAGGAAGATTTGATAGTGGGGTAGGATGATGAAGAGTAGGTAATACAAGTTCACCTTGAATAAGACGATCAAATTTCAGTTCAAATAATGTAAGCATTGCTTTAACTTCTAAAGTCAAAGTGTTCAACGGGTTGAACATGTTTAGGATATTTACATTAAATATCCTTTCGCCGACATTGAAATTATCTATGCGGCGAGGTTTGAGAACTGCAGTAACTATTTGATCAACTTGGGGTTCCAAAGTTCGTTTTAAAGCCACTATTCCTTGATTAATTTCACTAGAACCATCATTCACTACTCCAGAGATTTCAATACAATCCGGACTTTGTAACTCATAATGTAATGGTATATCAGAAATATTTCGCAAACTAAATTGAAATTTTACACCTGCCCATGAATTAGAATGCCCGATTCGTCCTACATTTAAAAATGGTTTATTCAACTCGCCTATGGGCACACAAAATTTTGCTTTAAGATCCACTAATTTTACCACCAAATTTTGAGCCATTAATAAAAATAAACCTTGAATATCAACTTTCCTTCCGCTGGACATTCTTTCTAATTCTTTTTGAGCTAATGAATTAGGTTGAGGACAACTTATATAAAGGTGGGCTTTGTTATTCGGTTTCAATTCCAGCAGAGGGCCACATACTTTGAATGGAGAATTTTCACCATCTATTTCCATATCTTGTGATGATTCTATTATTCTTGCATCTCCAAAAGGTCCCCATCGAATTTTTACATTCAAGTCACTACGAGGAACCAGATGCAAAACATCGATTTCGGAATTATTACGGATTTCTAAACATTGTTCATACAATGGGATATTGGCATCTTGATAACCCTTTTGAATGATAGCTTTTAAAACCGAATTTTGATTTTCTTTTATTTTAGTTTCGGTCTCATATGAATTATCATCATTAATAATCGCCACAGCAATATTATCCCAGGAAATTAAAGGCAACTTTTCATCCGGTAAAGATAAATCAAGGATACCTTTATTAACGAATAGACGTATTTCTACTTCAACTATCTGATCCGCATTGTTTTTGTTTGTAACAACGATTTTGTCTCTGAAAAAGCCAAATTTTGAAGGTGTCACACGAAAATTAATAACGGCAGAAGATAAATCCTCATAAATTAATTCATCCCCTTGTGTTGCACTAGAATTACGTCTTGAAGATTTACCAGATTCATGTGACGAATCCCAACCTTCAAGGGTCCCTCTGGTACGATCTAAAATTATATTTCCACTATGACATTCAATTACATAGTCTAATGGAAGACGATTAGACATGTTAAATATCGTGAATGATCCATAAAAGGTTTCACCAATAATGGAGGTTGAACCGAGATTTATTATCTTATCAGAAACCGATAGTATAGAGCGACCTATTAAAGAGGTAAATTTAACAGTCTGGGTAATGATGGTAATCATTTCTTCATCTTTTTTGTCTACCCTATCAGTAGTTTCATCATTTATTTCAGTAATTAATGGGCGTTGAAATTCCTTGTCTTGGACCGAAAACTTTATGCCACCAATTAATTCTCTGCATTCTCCATTGGCGATGGCATTACGATCAACAATTGATGCATTAGAAATACCATTTCCTACAGAATTTGAAGTGTTTCCAGTATTTCTTCGGGAAGGTGCAGGAACTGAAGTAAATAGATTTGGTTGCAAGGCTACCCAAACGCTCATCATTGATTTTTTCTTTAATAAAGTTCCCACAACTTGTCCCTTTTCTCCATTCTCATCCAAAAATACTGAAACTTGCAATGAAAGATTGCTTTGACAAGTTATATAGACATCTTCGTCGGAAATATTTTCAACTAACAATGGAGTGACTTGAGAATATTTTCTACCTGGGTCAACATAACAGTAACCTAAATTTAATATAGATTGTCCATCATCGCCAAGTGAAGGAAATCGTAAATATTGGGAGTAATGTACATAACCGTGAAGCATAAATTTTAATTCGCCTTTCGTTTCACAATTTTTTATAATTAATGAATGTGATTGATATCCTATCTTATTTGAAATTACAGTAAAGTCTATTTTTTGGGTTACTTGAGGAAGCAATGTACCTGGAGGAGGAATCGTTTGGAAAAATGAACTTTCATTATCTGGAATTATAATTTCATAATTTATGGGAATGTCATCCTGATTTGTTAATTTAAAATAATAATTATGACTTTGATTGACCTCAAGTCTACTAAAATCAAGAACAACGGGTTCTAGAATCAAATTCTCAGGAGATAACGTTTGCGTATCTAAACTAGTAAATCCATATTGAAATAATTCGGTTTCTGGAGAAAGTGTAATATCGTAGCCCTGAGAACTAATAAACTTTCGAAACATAAATTGAGAACTTGATCCATGTTGGTCGGTCATATCACTGGTAAAGCTAGAGAATTCGGGGGCAGGGCTAGCTATGCTCGATTCAGATTGGTAATCCGCACTAGAGCTTTCTTCTGTCAAAGCTTGTAAAAAGGTAAAATGATCATAACAAACTGAAGCTTTAAAAACGACTGTTTTAACGATATCCTTGTTTTTATGCTCATGAATATATACTCGACCAGCAATTAATTCGGTGGTTGGTTTTGGATCCGAAGATTCCGTCGCAACTGGCTTAAAAGAAACAGAAACTGTCTTAGTGGTCCGTGATTCCAAAGTAAAAATTATTGATGATGATGTTTTCTTGTATTTGGAATAAGATGAACGCTTCATAGACGATTCCGAAGATTTATCTGTATGGAATAATGAATTACTAGGTCCTGCTACATTTTCAACTGAACGATCAAATGTAGCTCCGTTAGTAAAAAGCTCTTCACTAAGAACATCAACCTTTTCTTCTTTAAGGATCATTTCACTTGTAAGACTTAGAGCCGTTTCACCAACAGGCTCGGTTTCATCCTCCGAGCCATTTCTGCCGATTTCACCGCGTCTTAATTTTATCAATTTTTTTTCAATCTTTTTTGCCTTATCAGCACGTCCTTTTCGCCTTGCAATTTTCACTTTTTGTTCTAAAATTTCAATTTCTTCTTCTATTTCTTTACTTAAAATTCCACTGTTAAAAGAAGAACCATCGGATTCTTCCTGAAGTATAAAATTAAGTTCCCCTATGCAAGCATTGAACTTTAGATCCTGGGGATCAAATCGAACTTCAATTGTACGGGATTGTTTGTTAGTGTTACTAATTGTAATATGTTGAACCTTTGGTGCAATCTCATTGATGAGACAGACTCCAAAATCCAAACTCAAATTTTGAATAAAGAAATTATATTGTTTTTTGATGTTCGCTTTTACCGAAAGTACTTGGTTGTTCTCACGGTCAAGTATATTTTCTATTTCGATCCTTTCATGAAATGGACCCGAAAGACTAGGTTCAAACGAAAAAACTATTTCTTTTTTTCCATATCCACGAACAATTCCTAAACGACCTATTCCGAACACGATGTCGCCTGATGCTATTGAGCCTGACTTACGAATATTATATAAAAGTGGAACCTCACTACGGTTTTGAATTAATATAGTCTTCTTTCGTCGTTCATTTTTTTCCATTAATCCGAAATTAATATTTTTTTGACCCAAATCAATAATAGATCGACATAATGTGGAATTGACCATAAGTTCTCTCACTGGAATAAGACTTTGATCACCGTGAAGCAATGCATCAAATTGAGGTTGTTGAATATCTCGATCAAAATCTATTAGACGTATAAATACTCGTGCATCAAATTTCTTTGGTAATCCTTGAACATTGGATCGAAGTTTTTGTTTGGGAGTAAATATTACAATGATTTGACATTCTCCTGAAGGAGGAATTTCTACAATTTTAGCGGGTACAATTTGATGATCTCGTATCCGATTACGTAATTCTCGAAAAATTCCCATTTGATTTCGAACATAAGTTTCTTCAACAGCTGGATTGGGAAATAAAGGAGGTGATGTACTGTTATTAGATTCAAGGGATGTAATAAGGGATTCAAGGGACATGTCGGCAAAGGTTGATGAATCATTGGTTTTTAAGAAATTTATTGGAGAATAATTTAATACACTTTTATTTTCGCGTCCTTTTTTATCTTCGACATGATTAAATGAATCAATATTATTTGTCGAATCTAAGATCATTTTATTGTTTAATCCTTTTTTTGTTATATTGGAATTAATAGAATTAATTGAAATCGTAGTTCCCGTAATTGAACTTTCCTTTATTCTATCAATAACTATATTCATTCCTGGCGGTTTATTAGTTTGAGATTTTATCGGTCTTCTTCGAGGAGGACGCCTTGAATCAATAGTTGATGTCCCTGCCAAATCAAGATAGGCTGCACCAGAAGATGCTAAATCAGTCAAGGAGCTATCTGAAAATATATTGACAGTATGTCGCTTATTATCTCCGGGAATCAATGTATTTGAGGCAGACAAATTTCCTTTATTTGTACTTGTACCAACCAAATCAATATTAGAATGTTTCTTTAACATTCTACTACGATCTCCTATGGACTCTAATAATTTTTCTCTTCTTTCAATTTTACACCTATTGTCATTTTCCATATTAATAGAAGCAGCATTTTTATTTTTGACGGTTGACACATTCTCGAGGTCATTCGGATTTGTTTTATTGTCATCTTTGGGACGCTTTCGATATATGACAATTTCTTCAGGTAAAGATGATGATAATTCTAAAATTAAATTTTTTGCACTAATATTATCAATTGTAAAAGTTCGTACACTAGGAGAATTCAGAACTGCTGTTCCAAAATCAATAAAATTGCGTCCAGTTGAAGTTAAAATTCGATAAAATAAGGAATGAAAAGTTACACGATTCTTGTCAATATTTGTACTTCTAACTTCAATGATTTGATCATTATTTCGATTTTGTAAATTGACTACAGTAATTTGTTTACGATAATCGACGTTTACTTTTCTAGGGTACACATTAAGTTTGACTTCGGTTGACATTTTGGGGGGAATAACAATCGCATCATTCGTGCAACAAAGTACTTTTGAAATAAATTTAAGTTCTACTTGAGCAGTCAATTCTGACAAATTTGTGATAGTTATTGGCAAAGATTTATGAGTACCAACATCTGTATCTCCAAAGTTTACTTCTTTTGGATTCACTTCAACGAAAGAAGTACAACTTCGAGCTTTGCACTGAATAATTTTACGTTCTTTATCACCAGAATTTAAACCTGTTGAACTAAAATTTGCTTGACCATATTGCACAATGATGCGAAAATTTCTACGAATAAGTTTACCAGCTTTAAAATTATTAGCTGAAGAATCTTTTTCTGGACGATATGACACTTGAACAATACGTTCTTTGCCAGGACCAAGATTTACTTCATCTATTTGAGTCATCTCATTATCAGCATTTCCAAAATAAATTTCTGAATCTTCTGTTGAATCGTTGGTTAAGAAACCACTTCCAGATAAATTTTCTCCTCCAAGAGATCCATCGATATCAGAATCTTCAACAATATTCGAACGATGTTTAATAGTTGTCTTAAATGCATTTTCGGAAATTGGATCATTCGGAAAGCTCGCATTTTCTGTAGGTAATATCAATCCATCTGTTTCCAGATTTTGAAAAATTTGAGGAGTTGGAGATACTGCTCTTGAACTAATTTCACTCATTGAATTTGTATTTATTGGAGTATTACTTGTGGTGGTTGTGCTACTGTTGGCATTTATTAGGTCCCTAAAACGAGGTTGCAATGCAGACAGATCATCAATTTCTTCAATGAAATTTTTTGGATATTTTCCATTTTCTTTTAAATTCTCCGAACTCAAATGAAATAAAACTTCCGCATTTTCTGCGGCAAAATTTATTTCTAAAGGTATAACGCTAACATTCTTTAAAACTAATTTTTGCTTGCTCCAAACTCCAGCGCAACAATCACCAAAATCTAAAACATTTCCACTACTAATAACTAATAGTTCTTCCCTCAATACAGATCTCACAACTGCATGTATTCTACTTTGTAATACATTTTCAGGGTCATTTGCATTTTCTAATTGAAGGTCATAATTGAATTCCCCAATTTCTTTAGATCGAAAAGTGATTCTAATTCTTCTATGTGAGTAACTTGGAATTGGTTTATTGTCTAATGATTCCCCGGTATCATAATCAGTAAATTTTAGCCAACCTTCTCGTTCAGAATAAGATAAATCCACTGTATTTATAAGCCAATATAATTCTATTTCTGAACGATTCCATATTGTAAAATCTTTGAAATAAGTTCCACCAATCACACAATCATCAAAATTGATTCCAGTCTCACCAACATCAGTCCATAGCACAGAACGACATACTGTCGAACGAAACTTGATAGTAATCTGTTGATCCGCTTTAGATGTATTACCAATGGACTCTATTTCACGAGAAGTTACATTTTCAACATCTAATCTAGATTTACCTGAGAATGATAGATAATAATGATAAACAATAATTTTATATATTAATTTCTATTAAATTTTGAAAGAAAAAAATTAGTTCATACCTGTATCATTCTCGTTATTTAAATCTATAGTTTTAGTAGTAACAGCAGATGAATACCGGATTAAGTTTGAACCATAATTTTCGCGATATTTATCAGATGGAATATTATTTCCATACGAACGTTCTATATTTAATGTATCAACCAGACCACCATTTTGTTGAATATTTTGTTGTTGATGTTGTTTATCTATTATGTATGCAAAAAAAAACAATAATCCATTGACTTCAAAGAAATCGTGAGTTTCATCTTCTTCAGACGATTGTGCAAACATTCCGGTATTCCCCCTTATATCTTCAACCTCGTCCGTATCCACCGAAACAGAAGACAAGCCATTGACATCAGTAAATGAAGGTGTACTCGCGTGATTCAATTCAGATCTCCGAGTATTATTGTTACGGGAATCTGGTAAAAAGGCTAAAATGATCTTTTGAGAACATCCTGGTGAAATTTCAACTTCATCTATGTGATTTACATAATTAAATAGTTGATTGAATTGATATCCATTGACATTGTCTCCGAATGCTCCAGCTGCTGCAGCTGCCACGGTATTTGTTGTAATATTAATTAAAGGATCTTCAGGGATATCATTTAAAGGCGCATTTGAATAGTCTTCTGATGTAGTACTTAAAGATGCATTAGATGACATCTTTTTCACTTCTTTGATTTTAGTTGAATTTGATTTCATATAATCGAATTCAGGTAAATTTTCATTGGAAAGTTGAAAAGCGATTTGAGAACCTAAGTTTGAACGCAATTTAACTAAAATGGTTTGTTGTGATATATTTCGAATTTCAAAGCGTCTTAAAGCGTGAAGTCCATTTAGATAAACTTTTTCCAACATAAGCCGGCTGGGAACATCCACGAGTTCAAATAACGGTAAGGAAGTAGATGAATTATTATTATGATGAACAACCGAACCGGGATTATTAACTTTTAAAGATTGGTCGGTTGCCATCGCTCCAAAAAAAAAAAAAAATATAAAATATTTAAAAGGAGGGAGAATGTTATTAAGAAGTCAGGATATGAGCGCTTGCTCTTTTTAATGGTAACTGAATATATACAAAATCCCTTGGCATTTACGTCTGATCGCTCATTTATAATATTTCGTATTTTTTTTTTTTATTTTGATCTGAATTTCTTTACACGACGACGATTTCAAAATTTTTTTTGCTTACTAACTAAATACAGTAATGTGAGGACAACGTGATGTGGACAACGTGATGTGATTTAAAGTCTTTTCGAATCATTAATTACCTTTTTTGTTTTTTTTAATCTTCTCTAACAAACAAAAAAAAAACCTTTATGTAAATATTGATCTTGAAATTTTTATATTTTCAAAATGAATAAAATTAATTAAATTATTAATTAAATTATTGAAATCGTCAACGTAAATAGCTATTCAAATTTATAACAGAATATTATCTTTTATGAGCAAAATTTCATAAATTCACCAAATTCAATTTTTTTTGTCTATTAAATTCTCTTGCGTATATAATTTATTGTAGTTAATTTATTTTTTTTCGTAATTGCAAGTAATAAATAATAAAAAAAAATAATAATAAAAAATTCTGTAAGTTTAGCACTATTATTTTTACTTTATATTCCCGATTCAGATTTATAATTGAAAAATTTATTAATCATTTTCCTTATTTTATATAGAAATGGTAAGTTCCAAAATTTTAATTATATGTATAAATCAAAAAAATTTTTTTTTGTTAATTTGTAATATTTCAAAAATAGAAAAAATAGATTTATTTTTAAATATATTTAAATTTTTTATAATATATATATACAATAATTTTTATTAATTAAGTGAAGTGATATTCGAGGTAAAATTTGGTAAAAATTTATAAAATTTATAAAATTTATAAAATTTATAGAAAATTATGGTGGTCTTAATTACTACAGATTGTATCGAAGAAATTTTAAAATTTCTGGCCAATGATGTAAAGACATTACATTCTTGCTTGTTAGTGAATAGATCATGGTGTCGTCTTACAGTTCCAATATTATGGAGTAATCCGTGGAAATATAAATTCGAAATTGGAGAAGAGAAATTTAATCAAACGATGACAATGATACTTTTATCATTTATACCTGTGGATACACGAGAGATGTTAAGACAGCAATATAAGAATGTGGTAATTGATTTTCCTCCAGCTCGAACTCCATTATTTGAATATACATCATATTGTCAATATCTTCCACGATATGAGGTACGACAACTTTGGAATGAAATAGAAAATAGAAATGGATTAGCTTATAGAATTCCAGATTATATTCGATATTTTTATTTAAAACATATTTACAAAATGTTTATTAATTCAAGTTCAAATCTTAAACATTTGGAACTTCCTCAACATATGAGACTTATAGATTTTAAGGGATGTAAAGATGGTTTAAGTCAACTTCATGTATTAGAATGTAATGCTAATCATGATAGTTCATCATTTTATGAAATTGCCGAAATTAGTAGAAATTTACAAAAATTAATTGTGGATTGTGATCAAGATAATGAAGGATTAGCGAAATTAATTAAGAAACAACATGGATTAGAATATCTTGAAATAGCATCATTGGAAGGAAAAATATGTTCAATAATTGGGGAAGCATTAAAGAGTCAAGATTCTACATTATCACATATACGACTTGGATTTTTAGGATGTATATCACCAACATTATTATGTTCATTTGTTAATTTAAAAACTTTACAATTTGATTTAATTGATCTTGGAGCTTCGTATGTTAAAAATATATTAGAAAATGCCAATTTTCCATATCTTGAAATACTTGATGTATTTGGTATTAATTGTGAAGTTCATATTAATTTATTTACGAGATTAATTGAACAAACTCAAAACACACTTCAAAGATTATATTGGAATGAAGTGACAAAACCAAATGATGATGATTTAAAACTTTATCTTGAAGTGATTTCACATAATTGTCCAAATCTTAAATTTATTACAATTCCATATATGAATCAAGTTATTGATCTTTTTGGTGAAATGTTAACGTCATGTAAAAATTTGGAAGGAATTAAATTAGTAATTTGTGAAGTAGTAGATGCGGATTTAATATTTCGAACATTGGGAACGAAGGCATCCAAGAATTTAACATTAATTAATTTTTCAGAAGGATGGTGGTTTACGGATATAAATTTAGAAGGATTTTTTAAATTATGGAAAGAAAGAAATCCGATGATATTAATTTGTCCTAAAGATAAAATGAACGATCAAGAAAATATTATTAAAGTTATTCAAAAACATTTAAAAAAAGGGATAATAAAAAAATATATTGATATTGCATTTGATATGAATCATATACGTTGGATTAGAGATTCTTGGAGGATTGGTCCTGTTTATGATAGATAAAAATTTATATCTATTTTTCGATATATTCAATATTTTTTATAATTTTATATTTTCGATAATTTTACGTTTTCAATAATTTTTTTATATTCAATAATTTATATATTCAAGTTTTCGCCTAGATTTATTATATTCTAATTAATTATTATATTTATTATAATTATTATAATCATTATATGTTATTAAGAATAATAATAATTCATGTTTTGGAAAAAAATATAATAAAAAAATAATAGAAATTGCATAATTTAATAATAATTGTCAGTAATTTTTATCAAATACATATAAAATAAGATATTTATTATTTATTAAATAAAACAAACAAATCATCTAAAATTCTAAAATTCTAAAATTCTAAAATTCTAAAATTCTTTAAAGCGAATGAAAACAACATTAAAATTACATTTATTTATGAAAATAAATTAAAATTTAAAAACTGAAATATTATATCAGGTTTTGTTTTTAAACTAATTAATTTAACTGACCCATCATCTTCAAATTTAACAAACAATGAACCAAATTGTGTTATTACGATTGATTCATTATAATTTTTTTTATCTTTCTTCCTTCTCTCTTTTCCTTTCTCCTTTTCATTATCTTTTCCATCATCATCATTTTTAATATTAAATAACCTTTCTATCGTTACCAAATCTTTATTACTCTTTTTTTCATTTTGTTTTTTTGAATTTTCTAATGAACACAAATTAAAAAATTTCATTTTATCATAAATCAAAAATAAATGAACTTTGGAATGAAAATAATAAGATGGAATTGATTTGTTGATTTCAAAATCAAAAGTATTTTCTTCTCGATTGAATTTGGGATTAATGTTTAGGACATCTCTTTGAAAATAAATAATCTATAAAATCATAATCAATATAAATGATCAATTATAAATGATCAATGGAATATTTAAATCACATAATATATATATTCTATGTATTTACTATATATGTATACGAAATATACCCAAAAGTAAACACAAAAAACGTATTTATAAAAATCAATCTTACAGATAATTCCCAACGATCTTTATAATTGCAATAAATTTCATCCATCATTATAGTTGAAACTAATTGATTCCATTTTTTACAAACTCTTCGTAATTTGAAAAAAACTTGAATACTATTTACATATATTTTTATATCATATTTAATTTTTTAAAAGTTATAAAAGAAAAAATTCAAAAGAAAAAAAATAATTAAATTTACTTACTTTACAGTATATAGAGCATAATTAAATATTTCAATAATTAATTCGTTTGGAAGATAATCCATTATATAATTTTTTTTTCAATGAAGTAAGTTTGTATTATATTAGAGAACTAATTTGAATCAAACTTATTAGAACCAATTCAAAATGATTGAACCATTCGATATGCCCAATTTTGGATTATGATTCATATAATTGTTTACTAAAATCGTAAATTACGACCTCTCTATGCACATATCACATCAACACCACATTCACATAAATTAAATAATTACATTCTATTTATTATTACATGTGATATGATTATTCTCTCCTCTCTTTCAAAAACAAAAATTTATTATTATACATATTTCAAATATTCGTATTCGTGAAAATAATAGAAAATGATGAAAGTATGATTTAAAATCATATGACCATATGAAATTATTATTTTATTAATTAATACAGTAGTTGATTTATCAATGAAACGCAAAATGAATAGGGCTAAGCTTATACATATTACAATGTGAGAAATTTTATAAATGAAATTTATCTATAAATAGTCAAGTCTTTTTTAAGATATTATAGATATAGAAAAGTTTACCTTTAATAAAACGATCAACATAAAGAATTTAATTGGTTAAAAATCAATTCACGTGGTGATTGATTTCATCCAAACTATCTAATCGCTTATAAATTTCAATAGCACCAATTTTTACATAAGTAATTTGATAAGTTCCTTTTTTAGGACCTCTTTTTATTCCTAAAGCACTATTATGAAATTTTATTTCTTTAAAGACCCACTGTATTTGTTGTTTACTATCATTACCTTGATCTTCTTGACCTTTAACGAATAATTCTCGTTGTTGTTGTTGTTCATCATCATTATAGTCAACATTATTGTTATCAAAATTATGGTCAACATTATGGTCATCAAAATTATGTTCATCAACAACATTATAATCATCATCACTTTCACCCACATTATAACAGGATCCATAATAAACCAGTTCATCATTCCAAAATAAATGAACGAATAAATTTTCTCCACATTTGAATTCTTGATCTTCATTAATAATAGTGAAACAAAATTGATTATTAACGTAATCATACGAAGTTAACTCGCATGCAGTGTTTTTAATGAATTTGTAATAATATAATGACTACAAATAAATAAACAGTTTTTTTAATGTCGATGAAAATGGTTAATATAAATACACGATTGATCTTTACTACCGTACCGCTATAGCCCATCCAAGATTATACGTAATAAAAATTTCATCATTAATAACTATAATAATTAATTCATTCAATAATTTACATGTACGTCTTAATCTCATTAAATTTTTAAATCTGCAATTTGGACTTAAACCATTTAGATTGAAATTAAATTAAAAATATAATAACATATAATAAAATATATGCAATGAATTAATAATAAAATAGATATATAATTGTTATGAATACTTACATTGGTTCTTTAATTACTTTACTGAGAATAGATAATATCAATTCGTTGGATAAATTGGAAAACATTTCTTATTCAATATTAAAGAAATTATAAAGGGAGAGCCAACTTATTTATAAATTTTACATGCATTCACGCATTCACGTGATAAAAATAATAATATATGGAAAACTTAATGTTACTCAAATTTTGATATAGTTCGTTTTTTTCATATGAACAAAAAATTATAAACCTTCAACCTATTATTCAACACGTTAACACTACTATTGCTTTTATATCTTTTAAATCATCTTTCTTAACTTCTTTCAAAGAAACAATTTCAAAGGCACTATAATCTTTATTTTTTAATTCTAAATATTTAGCATCAAATGTCATAATATAAATACTCCCGAAATTATTCTCATTTATCATCAAATCTTGTGATAAAAATATGCAAGAACATGGTTGACAAAAAGATTATCAGTTAACTTGGCAAAGAAAACATTATTTGTGATTTCAACGTACATTTATATACACGAATCATTACTTAACTTAGTATGACACATTATCGATAATAACAGAAATTAAAGAAATATCAAGTATTTTAAATATAAAGATTCACAATTTGTGCATGCACATGCTCAAATTGCTACCATCTTAAGAACTTGACTTTTCATCTTTTTACAAAAATAAAAATGCAATACAATTCCAATTGCTTTTTTTTTTTTGAGTATTAAAACGTGTAATCAATTTTAGTCTCGGTAAAGAACTTTCTTTTTTTAAAAAATAAATAATTATAATTCAAGTTTTTTATAATCTGTAATTTACAGAAATCTCTAAAATTTATCTGTGGCCAGCTATATCGAAATCTCATTTCTTCTTTTACAAAAAATAAAAATTGTAATACATATCAAAACTGAAACTATTCCTATTCCAAGCTCAAGCACAATCAGTATAGGTTTAGAGGACTTTGGAGGATGAGAGGAAGAAGGGGAAAAAGAAAGAGAAGAGGAAGAGGAAGGTGAAGGGGAAGAAGAACGAGAAGGGGGAGGGTTAAAACTTGTAACCCACGTATTATTTGTTATATTATAAAGGTATACTTTAGAATTATACAATTGTTCATCTATGTCATATCCTAAAAAATTCATAAATAAATTTCATGTCGTTACTATAATAGAAAAATGATTATTGTAAATATTGAAATACAATTACTTACCGAATGTAATTATAATATAAATTTGCTGTATGTCCATAAATAGATGGTGGAGAATTGACATTGGAATTACTTGGAATTGACTATTCATATGGAGATTTGTTTGTATCTAACACAGCAAGTTTAGGGCTAACATTAGTATAATTAACTGTACGTCCCCCAAATATAATAATACGTCCATCTGGTGCTATATGAAAATTTTTACAATTAATATAATTTTTTTATATTATATAAATTATAAATAAGTTAAATACCTACTCAACACAGAAGGAAAATACCACCTTGAATCAATATCATCACCAGTGGCATTCTTAGAATTAAATATAATTGTTAAGTTATTGTATTATTTATTTTATAAATTAATAATAAATAAATACCATGAGTTTCCATTCATCTTTTTTTTTGTATCAAAGAGTTTAATCTATTTGACAATAATTTATTAATATTTACGAATATAATTCAATAATTCATCAGTTTATACTTAAAATACATACATTATTCATTTTTACAAGAGTGCCAGTTCCGTCTTGTCCACCAATATAAACAATAATTCCATTTGGTAAGATATTAGCTGAATATTGACAGCTTGGTGGATGATTATAATATATGCTTAAAGTTTTCCAAGTCATTGAGAAAGTATTAAATGTATTCGTTTCATTGTAAGTTATTCCAGTATATGCTGTCAAATTAGTGACATTATATCCACCAAATAAATATATATTTCCTGAATTGTCAATTACTCCTGTCATTTGCTGCCTGATAGGAATATTGCCAGTAATTGATGGTATAGTCCATTTAGAAGCACGGTAATCATATGTATAAACTTGGTTTGAATAATCATAATTTTTAGTTTTATTTTGAATATAACCTCCGATTAGAAATATTATAGAATTGTCTAAACTAACGATAGAAGTTGAAGCGTGCGTAGATATAGGAAGATCTCCACGAATTAAATTCCATGATAAGGTTTTATTATCAAATGACTTTGATAAATCCAAATAGAATAATTCATATTTTTCTTCAGTAATGTTAGTAATGTTTTTAAGTCCACCGATAATTAAGAGTCGATCATTATTACATTATTATGATATCTTCTTCCAGGTGGGTTATAGCATAAAATTGAATTAATTAAAAAAATAATGCAAAAAGTAAATTTAAATAAATATTATAAGAAATACATCTTTTAATACTTGAAATAATATAATTTCTTGAATCATAGAATGGTTTAATTAAAAAAAAATTTTGCTGTTTCATTTCGTTTATTTAAGTACTGTTTGCACTTTACTTGTAAAATAGCGTATACGTATGTATGTGTGTTGTATTACAGTTATATGGTTTTGGTAAAAAGATTATATGCAATTGTTCTTTTCAGATTTGAATGCATCAGATATTTTTAGTCAACAAAATTAGAATTGTTCATAATATGGAAATTATGATTTAAAAGATGCAATTAGTGCGAATTTTTTTTAAAAAATGAATATGATTATTTCAACAATTATAATTAATAGAATATGTAAATCTTTAGTTCTAATTTCAAAATCTCTAACATTTATCTATTACCAGATATTTCGAGAACATTACATTATAAAAAATAAAAATTGCATTGCAATACAGATCAAAACCATTACACCTATTCCTGTTCAGTAATTGTTTTAAAAAACTCCAGAGGATGAAAGGAAAGGGAAGGGGAAAGAGGAGAGTTGAAACGTGTAACTTCTTATTATTTGTTATATTATAAAAGTGTCATTTTTTTTCTTATCCGCCGATATAAACAATAATTCCATTTAGCAAAAATACTAGCTCAATATTCACTGCTTGTTGGAGGATGATTATTACGTATACTTATAATTTTCCAAGCCATTGAAGAAGTATACAATGAATTCATTTCAATTGTAATATACAAATTTTGTTTTATATTTTTTATATTAGAAATAGATATAGGAAGATCTCCCTCCAAATATAATTATCATTTTGATATTATCAATTTTCAAGGGATCTTTTTATGGTGTTATCTCTAATGAAATCTTTTGCATAGAAATCTGTAATGTGAAGAAAAATTATGATATTTAAGAAAAGCAATAACAACGAAATTTCAATAATACTAAAAAATTTAACTTCCGTATAGGATCTTTTTTTTTTTGCCAAAAAGAAAATTTATTTTTCTAATATCTACTATCAATCAACTAAAAAATATTCAATTATCATTACACTCCACTTATTAAACGAAGATTCGTCATCAATTTCTATTTTTATCCTCAAATAAAATAATATTTAAACCAACTTTATTCCGAGATTCCTCTCTTTCTCTTTCTTTTATCGCTATATATTTTGTTTTTTTTATTAATTAATTAATAATAAATAAAAAATAGTTATTATTAATTATTTATTATATAAATATAATAAATTTATTATTAATTATTTATTATATAAATATAATAAATTTATTATTAAGTAATAATAAATATAAATAATAAATATTACAGCGACATTATATTCATAAAAGGAAACACATGTTTACCCTCGCAAAGTACATAAGGATTTATCTTTGAGCTTGATCAGTCATAAAATTCTGATGAGATATTTCAATATTGGTGATACAAGAGATACTTTTGGTAAGGTGTTTTATAAAAAAACAATTTGTAAATGTTAATTATATCAATCATAGATCTTCTAACAGAGAATGCAACTTGAATTAACTGTTTTGATCTGTTATGATTCCTATGGTACCATTATTCAATAAATGTATTGGTCAAATCATGTGACTAATTTGTTGTATTAATAGTAAATATTCTATACCACATTTCCTCAGAAATATTTCCTATACGTACTTATTCCAATAAATTAAAAAATCATTTGCTGTTAAGAAATGTTTAAAAAAGTGCATAAATAATTTCCAAGCTGTTTTATAAAATACGAGTTGACCTGTAATTGGGGGAAATTGGATAGATCACCAACAACTATAACGTTACATTATTGTGGAGAAGTAAAATTCAATAATTTACCCGAAACCATTGATATTTCATTAATAATTAACGTTTCTCATTAATTAACTCGCTTCTTAATTCTCTGTCTGTAAAAGCTCTTGTTTATTTCCTCTTTGTATTGATATAATCCGTAATTTTGAATGAATAGTTTTACTGTCAAATTTTGGGCTACTCCAGTGGGAACCAACAAAATATAATTGGGCTGCCTTTGATCGAGCATGTCTCTTATTATATTTATAATGTATAATTTACCATTTCCTGTTAAACCATTTATGAAAGAGTATGGCCATCTCATGTTATTATTTTTCTCATGTGGATAATACACGGTATGAGCATCACTGTTTCAGGATAAATATGTGGAAGAGTTTAATATCTCTTTTGTTTTTGCCTATTAAATTCTCTGCGTATATAATTTATTGCAGCGTAAAGTTTTATTTTTTTGTAATTGTAGTAATAAATAAATAAAAAATTCTGTAAGTATAGTACTATCATTTTTTATTTTATATTCCGATCCAGATTTATAATTATATGTATAAATCATAAATTTGTTTTGTCTAATTTTTGGTGAAATGTTAACGTCATGTAAAAATTTGGAAGGAATTTAATTAGTGATTTGGGAAGTAGTAGGTGCGGATTTAATATTTCGAACATTAGGAACGAAGGCATCCAAGAATTTAACATTAATTAATTTTTAAAAAGGATGGTAGTTTACGATATAAATTTAGAAGGATTTTTAAATTATGGAAAGAGAGAAAACCGATGATATTCATTTGTCAAGAAAATATTATTAAAGTTATTTTAAAACAATTAAAAAAAAGGATAATAAAAATATATATTGATATTGCATTTGGTCCTGTTTATGATAGATAAAAATTTGCATTTTCAAATATATAAATGCATTCTATTCGATATATTCAATATTTTATAATTTTATGTTTTCAATAATTTTTATATATTCAATAATTTTATATATTCAAGTTTTTACCTAGATTTATTATATTCCAATTAATTATTACATATATGTTATTAAGAATAATAATTATAATAATTCATTCATGTTTTAGAAAAAATATTAATTATTAATAAAAATAATATTAGAAATTTCATAATTAATAATTGTTAATAAATTATTGATGATTTTGTCAAATACATAACAAATATTTATCAAATAAGATATTTACTAAGTAAAACAAAAAAATCATCTAAAAATTACATTCATGAAATATTATATCAGTTTTTGTTTTAAACTAATTAATTTAACTGACCCATCATCTTCAAATTTAACAAACAATGAATCAAATTGCGTTATTAATACTGATTCATTATTATTTTATCATCTGTAATTTACAAGTATGTGAATTCTTAGTTCTAATTTCAAAATCTCTACCATTTATTCATTGCCAGCTATTTCGAGAATCTTATTTCTTTTTTTATAAAGAACAAATATTGCAATACATATCAAAACCACGCCTATTCCTGTCCCAAGTCCAATCAGTAATTTATTGGACTTTTGAGGATGAGAGGGAGAAGGGAAAGAAGAAGGAGAAGAAGGGGAAGTGGAAGGGTAAGGAGAAGGGAGAGGATGAGGGGGAGAGTTAAAACTTATAACCCACGTATTATTTGTTATATCATAAAGGTATACTTGAGAATTATATTTTTGATCATCTATGTTGTATCCTAAAAAATTCATAAATGACATGCGTTACTTATAATAGAAAAATAATTAATGTAAATATTGAAATCTATTTACTTACCAAATGTAATTATCATATAGTTATAATATAAATTTGCAGTATGTCCATAAATAGATGGTGGAGAATTGACTTTGGATCTACTTGGAATCGACCATTCATACGGATTTTTATTTGTATTTAACACTGCAAACTTAGGGTCGGCATTAGAAGATTTTTTGTACAACCCCCAAATATAATAATGCGTCCATCTGGTGCTATATAAAAATTTTCACTTTAATATAAATTTTTAATGTTTCAGAAATAACAAATAATTTTTAAATACCTACTTAACACAGAAGCAAAAAGCCATCTTGAGCCAACTTCATCACCACCAGTGGCATTCTTAGAATTAAATATAATTGATAAGTTATTATATTATATTTATTTTATATAAATTAATATCAAATGAATACCATATATGACCATTCATCTTTTTTGGTATCAAAGAGTTTAATCTATTTAACAATCGTATATTAATATTTACAAATATAATTTGAATAATTCATCAGTTTATATTTAAATCACTTACATCTTTCATTTTTACAAGAATGTCTGTGTCATCTTGTCCACCAAAATAAACAATAATTCCATTTGGTAAAATACTAGCTGAATAGTCACTGCTCATTGGAGGAAGATTATTAGTTATGGCTAAATTTTTCCAAAACATTGAAGAAGTATTCAATGTATTCATTTCATTGTAACTTTTTCCAGCAAACGTTGTGACATTAAATCCACCAAATATATATATAGTTCCTTTATTGTCAATTACTCCTGTCATTTGCTGCCTGATAGGAACACTATCGCCAGTAGTTGATGGTGTAGTCCATGTAGAATTAAGATAATTATATGTATAAATTTGGTGTGAAAAATCATAGTCGAATGTAGTTTTATTTTTTATGTATCCTCCAATCAAAAATATTGTAGAATTATCTAAACTAACGATAGCAGTTGAACAATATGTATATATAGGGAGATCTCCGTCGCGAATTAAATTCCATGGTAAGTTTGTATTATTAAATGAATTTGATAAATCCAAATAGAATAGTTCAGGCGAGTCAGGCGAGTCAGGCGATTGAGTATAATTTTTCTGTCCTCCAAGAATTAAGAGTCGGTCATTTATTATTACGCTATTATGATATGCCCTTTCACTTGGGGCATAGCATAAAATTGAATTAATTAAAAAAATAATGTAAAAAATAAATTTAAATAAATAAAAGAAATACATCTTTTTAATACTTGAAATAATATAATTTTCTTAAAAAGAACGATTTTTTTGCCTGCCTTTTCAGAATCACCGTTTATTTATGTTTACTGTATACAATATGTGCGTTACATTACAATATGTGCGTTACATTACTATTTGGTAAAAGTTTTTTCTTTTCATATTTGAATGCATTTGAAATTAGGCAACAAAAATTAGAATTGGTCTAATAAACACCGTTCTTTATATTTTCCAAAGAATTAAGTATTTCAAAATAATTATCTACATTAAAAAGTACAAAATTATTTTTTTTATTATCTTCTATTTCAAAAAATTTAGAATGAGTCATTATTTTCATAAAAAACGGAAAAAAACTGCTCACTTTCCATTAACTTTATTGAATTACAGATAAAAAAGAAATTTCGAAAGGAAGGAAGAAATAATTAGGCAAAATATATACAAAGTACATTTTCTTACATCTCGTTCGTTATATTATTAGATTTTTGCGATATAATGTGAAAATATAAACTATATTATATTGAATGTATTGAATGTGAAGATTGACTTTTTTTTGATAAACCCCACATTGGAAAAAAAAAAATAAAAAAAAAATGGTTAAAAAAAATTATCATCATTGGACGGACGAAGAAAGGTGGCGTTAAGAATTATTCGTGAATCTAATCAATACTGGCCTTTATTTCCACTACCGCTTTTTTATAGACTCTTTTCCTCTTGATAAGGTTTCTATCAAAAATTATTTATTTATCTCGAATTTTGAAAAAATAATTATTATTATTTTTAGTATTATAGCTTTGAATAAAAAAAAAATAAAATAAAAAATGTTCACCGCAAAGACACTCACCTTCTGTCTTATTGTGATAGTCGTTGTTGCCCAATAGGTTTTTTCAAATTTAACTTTATATAATTTGATAATTTAAGTAATAAAATTAACGATCGAATAAATTTTTTTATAATCTTTATAGGATACCATCCGATCTTCCTACCAGTCTACCTACTCGACCTACTCTACCTACTCTACCTACATCTACTGATGATACTTCACCACCTACTGGTCCATCATCACCTACCGTAAGTTTATTATTTATTAAATATATATATATAATATTATTAATTAATTTATTTGGATTTATTATTTTTAGAAAACCGTCAGGATCACCTCCACCACCGGGATCTCCATCCACATCCGAACTATTAGGTGTGCCCCACCAGATTATTCTATAAGAACAGAATCAATCTCAGGAAGGATTTCAGCGATTTCTCGTATGAGTGGTTTCGAAGTTTTATTCGGCTCATTGATCGCTTTCATAGTTGCCGCTTTACTTTATTAGATTTTTTGAAAAAAAAAGTTATATGATTCTCTTCTTAAATCCTGCAATTATTTTATCACTTTAAAGGTCTTTTTCTCACAAAATACTATTACTGTTCCAATTGTTCCAAATGACCTCGTTTAGCATAAAATTAAAATTTTTTTTTTGTATACCTGATTTTATAAAAGATGTATATTTCGAGATTACTCACGTGATCATTACGATCGAGTTGTACGTGAATAATACAAAAGGTTAAAATTATAAAAGTAATTAATACTAGTTTTGCCTGCCGCAAGTTTCACAAAGTTAAAAGGTTGATAATTTTTACTGTAGTTATATAAAAGATTGTAATTTTTCAATTTGCTGTAATTGGTATAATGTAGTGTTCATAATAATAATATTAATATTACACCTTTATAATAAAACTAGCGTAGGCCCGTGCCTTCGGGGATTTTTTTGTTATTTATTTTTTCTTCTTTTTCTTTTTACTATTATTATTATTTTTATCTTATTTACATATGAATTTATCTGTTTGCCTTTACATTTTTGATTTGTTGCTATTAGATTTTGCATTAGAGGGTGTCCGTTTCTAATTTTGCATTTTGTGCTGAAATTTTGCTGGGAAGATTGGCATGCTCAAAGTAATAAATACGGGAGAATATTAAAATAATAATTAATAATGATACTGTATTTCAGTATTTCATTTTATTTTTATTATTTTTTGAATCATCAATTTTTTTTTCTACAATGTAAATAAACAGAATTCGTATATATAAAAATGAAAAAATTAAAATAAAAAACAGGTTTCTAATTCAAAACAATTATAAAATATAGAAACTTATTTATTTGATTTATTCATACTAATTCTACTGTAAAAAAATGCGAGAGTATTTGTAATTAAAGAAAAATTCATGTTTCAATCTGTTTGTAAGCCAGCTTAGCGAAAACAAATATCCAAGTACTTTCATACCTTCTGAACAGTTTTAATTAGTCGCTCAAAGATGGAATTGTAAAAAAAATTTGTGAGTATTTGTAATTAAAGAAGAATTCATCTTTCAATCCATTTGTAAGCCAGCTTAGCAAAAAAAATATTCAAGTACTTTCATACCTTCTGAACAGTTTTAATTAATCGCTCAAAGATTTTTTTTTTCTCACAAATGTTAAAAATAAGAAACTGCCATTATATTTTTTTCAATCATACAATATGTATAAATTTTATTAAAAGTCAAATGATGTAACTGTGAAAATTTTAATAATAGTTAAGCATGCGAACTCTTTTCCTTCCCACTACAATGAAAATTTTACTATGTCAAGGATTGCCAAAGCTTCTCTACTCAGTCATCTTATTGGGGATCACCTGTTATTTATCCTTCGTAAATCCTTTGATCTGAAAAATTTTACTAAGTCTAGGGGCTTTTTTTGGTCGTAAGAGATCACCTGTTACCTTTTACTACTTGGAAGAGGTGTTGTTACAAAAATCATGTTACAAAATTTCATAACAATAAAATGGTATCACAAAATCTGAAATCCGCCAATCAAAAGTCTTTTAATTTAAAGGTAGAGATTTTATAAAAATAGTCTTTGGTTGAGCTGGAATTATTAAGCCAGAATTATGTAGTACAGGCCAAGATCAAGTTTCACGTGAACGCAAGCAAGAATATCATGAGTTTCATTAGAACAGAAAATTGGACATTCAAGATTTATCTGTAATCCCCCCTATAAATACGAGTACACGAATGCCTTAAAGATAAAAAAGTTATAATTCACATAAGTTAAAAAGTTAAAAAAATTTTAATTATTAGAAATAATTTACATTACAACCTAATTACATATATCATATTGCAACCTTATTACAATACTTTACAACTTTAAACAATGGTTGAAATTAGGGTTACAAACTATTAAAAATAAATCTATTTTTCTATTTTGAACCATTACAAAATTAAACAAAACACAATTTTATATATAAAGTTTTAATTTGTTAATTGTTATTATGTTAATTCTACAATTATTATGCATGCTGCTGTTAATTACAATTGTCATGTATGTTTTTAATATTTTTGATCATATTAAAACCTAAATTTAGGTAAATTTATTAGATTGTATCGAAAGAAATTTTAAAATTTTTGGCCAATGATGTAAAGACATTAGATTGTATCAAAGAAATTTTAAAATTTCTGGTCAATAGTGTAAAGACATTACATTCTTGCTTGTTAGTGAATAGATCATGATGTTGTCTTACATTTCCAATATTATGGAGTAATCTGTGATAATATAAATTCGAAATTGGAGAAGAGAAATTTAATCAAATGATGACAATGATACTTTTATCATTTATACCTGTGGATACACGAGAGATGTTAAGACAGCAATATAAGAATGTGGAAATTGATTTTCCTCCAGCTCGAACTCCATTATTTGAATATATATTATATTATCAATATCTTCCACGATATGAGGTACGACAACTTTGGAATGAAATAGTAAATAGAAATGGATTAGCTTATAGAATTCCAGATTATATTCATATTTCTATTTAAAATATATTTACAAAATGTTTATTAATTCAAGTTCACGAGACTTATAGATTTTAAGGGACGTAAAGAAGGTTTAAGTCAACTTCATGTATTAAAATGTAATGCTAATCATTTTATGAAATTTCTGAAATTAGTAGAAATTTACAAAATTAATTGTGGATTAGCAAATTTAATTAAGAAACAACATATCTTGAAATAACATCATTGGAAGGAAGAGTATGTTCAATAATTGGGGAAGCATTAAAAGAGTCAAGATTCTATATTATCACATTTGCGACTTGGATCTATAGGATGTATATCACCCACATTATTGTTAATTTAAAAACTTACAATTTGATCTAATTGATTTTGGAGCTTCGTATGTTAAAAAAATATTAGAAAATGCTAATTTTTCATATCTTGAAATACTTGATGTATTTGGTATCAATTGTGAAATTCATATTAATTTATTTATGATATTAATCGAAAAAACTCAAAATACACTTCGAAGATTATATTGGAATCAAGTAAAACAAGTGATGATAATTTAAAACTTTGTCTTGAAGTGATATCACATAATTGTCCAAATCTTACAATTCCGTATATGAATCAAAATGTTAATGTCATATAAAAAGTTAGAAGGAGCTAAATTGGTAATTTGTGAAGTAGTAGATGCGAATTTAATATTTCGAACATTGGGAACGAAGGCATCCAAGAATTTAACATTAATTAATTTTTCAGAAGGATGGTGGTTTACGGACATAAATTTATAATGATTTTTTAAATTATGGAAAGAAAGAAAGCTGACTATATTTATTTGTTCTAAAGATACAATGAATGATTAAGAAAATATTATTAAAGTTATTCAAAAATATTTAAAAAAAGGGATAATAGAAAAATATATTGAATTGCATTTGATATGAATCATATACGTTGGATTAGAGGATTGGTCCTGTTTATGATAGATAAAAATTTATATCTATTTTCAAATATACTTAATATATGTAATATTTTTATGATTTTGTGTTTTCTGTTTTCAATAATTTTTTTACAATCTATTATCTTTTATATAATACAACAGTGGTGACTAGATAAGGAAACATTATTATTGGCTAGATAAAGAAAGATTATTATTGGTGATTATAATTGATAATTTGTGCAATTTGTGTAATTAATGTGATGCGCAAAAATTTGTAATTCTATTGAGGTGACACAAATGCCACAGGAAACACTGTACGAGAATTTGGAAGGTTACGAATGTCACGGGAGATGGTAACAAGATGATGGTGTTACCTGAGGATGAGTGTTGTTATCTGTGTAAACCTTCTACAATTTATAAAGACAACGGGATAAAATAATACTAAATCTAATAATAAAACTAAGTATAACTATAATAATTACTAATCTCACGATAAAATAATCACAATACAAGGGTTTATGCATAGAAGGAATTAAGTACGATCAATTATGAAAGAGACGTATTTAACTATTAACAGTGGTATGAAAACTTGTTAATAGGAGCAAACAGTTTATCAATTATCAAATGAATACAACAAACAAGGGACTTAAAGGATTTTATAATAATAACTTTTATTACTCAATAAATCTTAACTAATTCGAAAACTAAAAGATGAACTTGAGAACTTCACCCGAGACTGAGTTAAGGAAATTCTTAGCCTTTATATACATTATTATTTTAACTGCTAAGCTGACTTGTAATCTGACTGTAAACTTCACTAGTAACTATGCTA